ATACATATATACATATACACACATATACTGAAATAGAAAAATAGGTGTGTGTGTGTGTGTATGTATATATATATATATATACACACACACACACATACACACACACACACTAGTCGTCCCCTGCCACACGTTGCTGTGGCCCAGTCCCTGTATATGTGTTTTGTGTGTGTGTGTATGTGTATATTTGTGAATATGTGTGTTTGCATATATATATGTGGTTTTGCGCATCCGTTGTAATGTAAGTTTTGTTTTTTGACTTTTAAAATCTCATCTGCTGAGTTTCTCAGTGTTTTTTTCAGTGATGGTCACTCGTTGGCCTGATAGGTGTATTGTGTCCAAATTTGGTGTCAATTCATCCAATGGTTTTTGAATTATGTTAATCCCACAAACGAACATTACATTTTTATTTATATAGACTAGCTGTTTCCGGCCACGCTTTGCTGTGGCCTCAGTCTGGTTCTTTCCTTCTCCACCTCTTTCTTTCCTTTTTCTGTCCCTTCTACTTTCTCTTCTTCCTTCCTTCTCTATTTCTTACTTTCCTTCCTTCCTTCTCTCCTTCCTTCCTTCCTTCCTTCCTTCCCTATTTCCCTCCTTCCACCCTTTTCTCCATCCTTACCTATGTCTTTCTCTCCTTCCTTCAGTCTTTCTATCCTTTCTTCCTTCCTTCTTTCCTTCCCTCCTTCCAGGGCAGTCATTTTTGTGCATGTGCTGTAACATCTTTTTGCTTTGTTATGTTTTTAAGTTCTTACCACTTTGTGTTTTCTTGGTGGGGTTTTTTTTTTTTTTTTTGAATGATGGTCACTTGTTGGGTTGGTAGGTATCTTTTGGCCAAATTTGGAGTCATTTTGTCCAGTGATTTTTGAGTTACGTTAATTCCATAAACGAAAATTACATTTTTATTTATATACTAGCTGTCCCCTGCCACGCGTTGCTGTGGCCCAGTCTGTGTATATGCGTTTTGTGTGTGTATATATGTGTGTATATGTGTGTTTGTGTATATATGTGTGTGTGTGTGGTTTTGCGCATGCATTGCAATGTTTTGTGTTTTTTTGGCTTTTAAAATCTCTTCCGCTGTTTTTTTCCATTGCTTTATGAGTGATGGTCAATTGTTGGCTGGATAGGTGTCTTGTGTCCAAATTTGGTGTCCATTCATCCAGTGGTTTTTGAGTTATGTTAATCCCACAAACTAACATGACATTTTTATATATATATATATATATATATATATTCATTCATTCAGGAGACTTGAATATATATACCCTATATACTTGAGTACAAGCCGGATTTTTCAGCCCCCTTTTTGGGCTGAAAAAAGAACCTTTGGCTTCTACTTGAGTAAAAGTAATTGATTGCTTTACTTTGTTGTTATTATTATTTTTTTATTGCATTTTTACTCTATTTATTATTATTATTACAGTTACATTATTTTACTCTATTATTACATTTACATTATTTTACTATATTATTGTTGTTATTATTACATTTATTATTTTGCTTCCTTTATTATTATTGGAAGAATACATAAACACACATTTACATTGAAGAAGGTTAGAATCATGGTTTAATTTATCTTAAATTACAGTTTTATGTAAATATTCAAAAACATTGAACCTACGGATGCCTCAATTCATGTAATTTTATGGTATCTATTTTTAAATTCATCAGTAGCTGCTGCATTTCCCACCCTCAGCTTATACTCAAGTCAATACATTTTCCCAGTTTTTTGTGGTAAAATTAGGTGTCTCGGCTTATACTCGAGTGTGTGTGTGTGCACGTGTGTGTGTGTATTGCAGTCTCCTGAAGCCAAATGCTAGGTCACAACATCTGAGGAGAAGACCTCTTCCATGTTTGAGGGCTTCCCAGAAGTATCTTAAGATGTTGTGTTATTATTCTGCTGCATACAGCAGGGTTCTGGAATTTTTAGCCATAGTCTTACACAACTTTGTGGAGTTTTTCTTCTCTGTCTATGTTGCAGAGATGTACCACCTCTCCCAGCTTCTTGTTGTCCACATTTGGTCGGGATCCAGCTCCCATTAGTTCTTGCCAGCTTATCGATAATAAGGGATTGTTGGAATCTCCATTCAGCAACATCAGGAGATGTTCCTTATCTCTGAGATAGACTTTTGATACATAGCAGCAGGACTATCCCTTCTGTTCTTGTAATTAATAGTGCTCTTCTCTTCCTGTAGAGACATATGGCTATAATTACTTTTTTTCATGCCTAGTATTACTTTCCTAAAGTGAGAGCAGTGGTTCATGAAAAATTCCATATGGACCCAGTTGGGAAATGTTGATCTCCTCTATGCACAGTGAGGAAGAAGAAAGGGGCGTGAAAAAGGTCGACTGTTGATGTTACGGATTAGAGAGCATGACGCTAATTAGGAAGTGAAATGCTGCAGGGATTGGGCTGGAGCAAAACGGACATATTCTCAGTTGCTCAGTCACTCCATCAACGAAGAACCTGCCAAGTTGGGGGAAGTATTTTTCCTCCCATCATAGTTTTCACATTAGGAGAGTTTGACTTTCCTGACTTTTGCAGGAAAACTTGTTCTTCTATTTCATTATAAAAAAAAGGCACAGAAGGATTTAATTTATAACCGTGTTTGTTGTTTGAATAAGCTTCCATAGCTTTTCTGGCTGTGAATGGCCATTTCAACATGGAACCCTACCTACAGTGCTTTGTTGTTGTTGTTCATTCGTTCAGTCGTCTCCGACTCTTCGTGACCTCATGGACCAGCCCACGCCAGAGCTCCCTGTCGGCCGTTACCACCCCCAGCTCCCTCAAGGTCGGTCCAGTCACTTCAAGGATGCCATCCATCCATCTTGCCCTTGGTCGGCCCCTCTTCCTTTGCCTTCCACTTTCCCCAGCATAATTGTCTTCTCTAGGCTTTCCTGTCTCCTCATGATGTGGCCAAAGTACTTCAACTTTGTCTCTAGTATCTTTCCCTCCAATGAGCAGTCGGGCTTTATTTCCTGGAGGATGGACTGGTTGGATCTTCTTGCAGTCCAAGGCACTCTCAGAACTTTCCTCCAACACCACAGCTCAAAAGCATCGATCTTCCTTCGCTCAGCCTTCCCTAAGGTCCAGCTCTCACATCCATAGGTTACTACATGGAATACCATGGCTTTGACTAGGCGGATCTTTGTTGCCATTCTGATTAATAATACTATGGAATAATACTAATAATAATAATAATAATAATAATAATAATAATAATAACAATAATAATGTCATTATTAACCATGGAATAATAATAATAATAATAATAATAATAATAGGAATAATAATAATACCATGGAATAATAATAATAATAATAATAATAATAATAATAATAATAATGTCATAGTTAATAATGACAGTAAATAATGTCAGTAAAATAATAATAATAATAATCTATATAAATAAAAATGTAATGTTTGTTTGTGGGATTAACAGAACTCAAAAACCACTGGACGAATTGACACCAAATTTGGACACAAGACACCTAAGAACCCAATGTTTGTCCTTCACTCAAAAAAAATTGATTTTGTCATTTGGGAGTTGTAGTTGCTGGGATTTATTGTTCATCTACAATTAAAGAGCATTCTGAACGCCACCAACGATGGAATTGAACCAAACTTGGCACATAGTTCTCCCATGACTAACAGAAGATACTGGAAGGGTTTGGTGGGCAGTTTCCTTTGGTTTGGGAGTTGTAGTTCACCTACATCCAGAGATCACTGTGGACTCAAACAATGATGGATCTGGACCAAACTACACAAATACTCAATATGCCCAAATGTGAACACTGGTGGAGTTTGGGGAAAATAGAATCTTGACATTTGGGAGTTGTAGTTGCTGGGATTTATAGTTCACCTACAAACACAGAGCATTCTGAACCCCACCAACGATAGAATTGGGCCAAACCTCCCACACAGAACCCCCATGTGGGCCACAGCAACGCATGGCAGGGGACGGCTAGTAATCTATATAAATAAAAATGTAATGTTCGTTTGTGGGATTAACGGAACTCAAAAAGCACTGGACGAATTGACACCTAATTTGGACACAAGACACCTAACAACCCAATGTATGTCCTTCACACAAAAAATTCATTTCGTCATTTGGGAGTTGTAGTTGTGGGATTTATAGTTCACCTACAATCACAGAGCATTCTGAACCCCACCAATGATACAATTGGGCCAAACCTCCCACACAGAACCACCATGTGGGCCACAGCAATGTGTGGCAGGGGGCAGCAAATAATAATAATAATAATAATAATAATAATAATAATAATAACAATAATAATAATAATGGAAAAACTCAGCTACTATCAAGACCTCAAAATCGAACTGCAAAGACTCGGGCATAAACCAGTACAGGTGGTCCCAGTGGTCATTGGCACACTGGGTGCCGTGCCAAAAGATCTCAACCGGCATTTGGAAACAATAAACATCGACAAAATCATGATCTGTCCACTGCAAAAGGCCACCTTACTTGGATCTGTGCGCATCATTTGAAAATACATCACACAGTCCTAGACGCTTGGGAAGTGTTCGACTTGTGATTTTGTGATACGAAATCCAGCATAGAGATCTTGTTTGCTGTGACATACTGTGGTTTTGTGTCAATAATAATAATAATGCCATCAAAGCCAGAATTGAAAAGTCAACGACAGACTCCAAGTGTAGACTCTGCAAGGAAGGAGATGAAACAATAGATCACATTCTCAGCTGCTCCAAGCAGAGGCACAACATTGTTGCTCAGATGATCCATTGGAACTTGTGCCACAAAAACCATCTGCCTGCGACAAAGAACTGGTGGGATCACAAGCCGGAAAAAGTTACAGAAAATGAACACGTCAAACTACTCTGGTACTTCTGAATTCAGACTGACAGAGTTTTGGAGCACAAGACTCCTGACCTCACAATCATGTTAAGGAACAAAGTATAGATTGTCGATGCCTCAATCCCAGGTGACAGCAGGATTGAAGAGGGACAGGGCCTTCTCTGTGGTTGCCCCCCGACTTCGGAACACCCTCCGCAAAGATATTAGACTAGCACCCACGTTGGCAGTCTTTAGAAAGAACTTGAAGTCTTGGTTATTCCGATGTGCCTTTCCAGAATATGATAACCTCCAGCACTCTGTCCCAGAAGAACTTTATTAGAGTTTAATACTCTCTGCACATTGCACCTGCCCAGAATTCCAACATACCACCTCACACACCCAGCACACCTGTACCCATCATTGGCCCGGCCCTGATTTTATTGTGTAATAGTGTAATGTTTTGTTGTGTTATTGCTTATGTTTTTAATTTGCTTGCATTGTTATTGTTTGTTGTTGTTATGTTGAGGCCTTGGCCTTTGTAAGCCGCATCAAGTCCTTCGGGAGATGCTAGCGGGGTACAAATAAAGTTTAATAATAATAATAATAAACAATTGGAAAAACTGACACAATATGAGGATTTAATGATCGAACTGCAAAGACTCTGGCACAAGCCAGTCAAGGTGGTCCCAGTGGTGATCGGTACACTGGGTGCAGTGCCTAAAGACCTTGGCCTGCACTTAAACACAATTGGCACTGACAAAATTACCATCTGTCAGCTGCAAAAGGCCACCTTACTGGGATCTGCACGCATTATTTGACAATACATCACACAGTCCTAGACACTTGGGAAGTGTCCGACGTGTGATCCAATACAACAGCCAGCAGAATGATTTTGTTTGCTGTGAACTCATCTTTTTGTGTTTCTAATAATAATAATAATAATAATAATAATAATAATAATAATAATGGATCATTGATGTTGCAATCCCAGGCGACAGCAGAATTGACGAGAATCAACGGGAAAAGCTTACACAATACGAGAATTTAAAGATCAAACTGCAAAGACTGTGACACAGGCCAGTAAAGGTGGTCCCAATGGTGATTGGCACACTGGGTTCAGTGCCTAGAGACCTTGGCCAGCACTTGAAAACAATTGGCACTGACAAAATTACCATCTGTCAGCTGTAAAAGGCCACCCTACTTGGACCTGCATGCATTATTTACTGAGACATCACATAGTCCTAGACACTTGGGAAGTGAGTTGCTGCGGGTTTTCCGGCTTGTATGGCCATGTTCCAGGAGCATTCTCTTTGAAAGAATGCTTCTGGAACATGGCCATACAGCCCGGAAAACTCACAGTAACCCAGTCATCCCAGCCATGAAAGCCTTCGACAATACACTTGGGAAGGGTCCGACAAGTGATCCATAGGATCTTGTTTGCTGTGTACTAATCTTGTTGTGTATCAATTTTGTAATAATAACAATAATACCCCACTTTTTTCTGTTCAGGAAACAGACTCAAAGCGACGTAAAGTAAAACAGATATAATACAATTTAAATCCCAAAAATCATACAAACATTAAAATAGAATTAAATATTAGCGGTATTAAAATAAACAGTTTAATGATAAACATTGGTGTGCTTGCATAGGGTAGGGATGTGGAATATTTAGCCTTCCAGACAGTGTTGGAGTGCAGGTCCATTTTGTCTCAACCCTAACCCATTTCTGGTTTAGAATGATGACTGCAGTTTTTTTAAATGTTCCTTATAAAAAATTCTGAAAATTAACATTTGTATCTAAGTCAAAAAGAAAAATCTGTAGCCTAGAATATCAGATATCTTTAGAAATATATGCTCTAATTGCTGACAACCGCTATTGGAACATTTTCAGTAAAATCATAAATGTTGTTAAGAAAAATGTGTCTTTTTGTATGTAGTGTGGCGTAGCCGATGGAGAGGGATTCTTAAGTATCTGGCAAGTAAACCAAACTGCATCCAATCCTAAACCTTATATGGTAAGTAATCAGGATAATTCTTTACAGTTTTTTATTCTGAATGTTCGCTTATTATAAGAGACAGTTCCAGATGAAACTGAAATTATGCCGTCAGTTACAGCTTTTATGTTTGTCTTTCATTTGGAAAGTAGGACTAATAACTGTATGGCATTCCAGGTGGTTTTGAACTATGGCTCCCAATACTTAGGTGATCCCTCATAATCTGAGTAGGATAGTTTTCCAGGATCAGTGTACCGGCAGCGGGTCCGTAGATGACTGTGGAGCCATATTCTTGACCTACATCTTCTCCCGCAGTGAGGGCATCGGCTTCCAGGTGAAAGGCGGTCCCAGTTGGGGTTGACTTGATGCGCCTTCCTCTTGGCATGTTTCTCTCTTTCACCCTCCATTTGTGTCTCTTCAAATTCTACAGTGCTGCTGGTCACAGCTGACCTCCAGCTGGAGTGCTCAAGAGCCAGGGCTTCCCAATTCTCAGTGTCTATGCCAGAGTTTTTAAGGTTGGCTTTGAGCCCATCTTTCAATCTCTTTTCCTGCCCACCAACATTCCGTTTTCCGTTCTTGAGTTCGGAGTAGAGCAACTGCTTTGGGAGACGGTGGTCGGGCATCCAGACAAGGTGGCCAGTCCAGCGGAGTGGATAGCGGAGGACCATCACTTCAGTGCTGGTGGTCTTTGCTTCTTCCAGCATGCTGATATTTGTCTGCTTGTCTTCCCAAGATATTTGCAGTATTTTCCGAAAGTAGCACTGATGGAATCGTTCTAGGAGTTGCATGTGATGCCTGTAGACAGTCCACGTCTCACAGGCGTATAGCAGGGTTGGGAGGACAATAGCTTTATAAACAAGCACCTTGGTATCCGTAAGGATGTCCCGGTCCTCAAACACTCTCTGCTTCATTCGGAAAGATGCTGCACTCGCAGAGCTCAAGCAATGTTGTATTTCAGTGTCAATGTTGACTTTGGTGGAGAGGTGGCTGCCAAGGGAGCGGAAATGGTCAACATTTTCTAACGTTACACCATTAAGCTGTATTTCTGGCATTGGAGAGGGATTGGCTGGTGACTGCTGGAAGAGCACTTTGGTTTTCTCAATGTTCAATGACAGGCTGAGCTTCTCATATGCTTCTGCGAAGGTGTTTAGAGTGGCTTGTAGGTCTTCTGAATGTGCACAGACAACATTGTCATCAGCATATTGGAGTTCTATAACAGATATTGTTGTAACCTTGGTTTTGGCTTTCAATATCCCTTACCTTTGGCTATACTTTCTGGGCTTTCTATTATCTTGACCTCCCTAGGAATCTCTAGGTTCTCCAGCACAACATAGAATCACAATCAAAGACCAGAGATTCTGAAAGAGGTGTTCTTTAGAGGAATCCCTAGCTCCTCCAGCATGACTCTATGAATAACATCCAGCAAAAGCTGAGTAAAGAGTCGTTCTGGAGGACCTAGAAATAACATTGTAAAAACATCAGTGAATAATCATATTTGCAAAAGTCAAACTTGCAAGTGTGGAGGGGCAAGTGTACTATATTGAAAAGAGGAGAGGAAAAGTGTGGCCTGTGGGTTGTATGTGGTTTGGTTCCCCCTCCCCTTCTGCTTCATTTCAATTAAAAGGAAAGCAAGCTGTTAGTCGCAAACTGTGACTAATATAATTTCATGTAATATTCTGCCCAGTAGCAAAACAAGACTAAAGATGCCCAGCAGAAGCAGCAGATTCAATCTATCTCCTTCCTGAATGTCTGGCTCTGGAACTAAGTTTTGTCAGAGAGGCAGAGCAAGATAGCAAAGTTGTGTATGCCTTATTACCGAGCCAGGGAATCAGAAGTTGCAGTGATGTAGAGGTCTGTTTGCCTTCTTTCAGAACCCCTCCTGTACTTCCTCCAAATCAGTCTCTTCCTCCCTGCATTGGGTCCAAATTTAATGAAAAGATTTGTAGTTTTCAGAGGGCCAATTTTGTTTAATATCTGAAAACAGAAAGGGGAAGAAAGGGACGATAAGACTAGTGAAACAAATTCAGAAACGATATTTTTGAAAAGAGTTAAGTCCACAAAATACCCGAGGCAGGGAGATTTCTGGCGTCTTTTTCTCTCCCCGGCAGAAGAAGCCTCCTCCATTTTTCCTTGGAAAGTTCCCTCCTCCCTTAGAATCATAGAATCAAAGAGTTGGAAGAGACCTCATGGGCCATCCAGTCCAACCCCATTCTGCCAAGAAGCAGGAATATTGCATTCAAATCACCCCTGACAGATGGCCATCCAGCCTCTGTTTAAAAGCTTCCAAAGAGGAGCCTCCACCACACTCTGGGGCAGAGAGTTCCACTGCTGAACGGCTCTCACAGTCAGGAAGTTCTTCCTCATGTTCAGATGGAATCTCCTCTCTTGTAGTTTGAAGCCATTGTTCCATTGCGTCCTAGTCTCCAGGGAAGCAGAAGACAAGCTTGCTCCCTCCTCCCTGTGGTTTCCTCTCACATATTTATACATGGCTATCATATCTCCTCTCAGCCTTCTCTTCTTCAGGCTAAACATGCCCAGCTCCTTAAGCCGCTCCTCATAGGGCTTGTTCTCCAGACCCTTGATCATTTTAGTCGCCCTCCTCTGGACACATTCCAGCTTGTCAATATCTCTCTTGAATTGTGGTGCCCAGAATTGGACACAATATTCCAGGTGTGGTCTAACCAAAGCAGAATAGAGGGGTAGCATTACTTCCCTGGACCTAGACACTATGCTCCTATTGATGCAGGCCAAAATCCCATTGGAACTCACTTTCCCAGTGGCACTAACATAGAGTAGCCATTGAAAGTCCGTCTCAAAACATGATGGAAGTTGAAGTTTCCCTGTGTGTGTCTCAGCTAATAAAAAGCCTGGTGGTGTCCATGCTCTGATTGGCTGAGAATTGACACAACCAGCGACTACAATTCTCAAATGTTATGGTTAAAACTTAAAATAATTCTTAAAAAATCAGTAGATTTGTTTCCTTTTGGCTAACTTTCCAGTAAAAAATGAGGAGTCAGACAAAAACAGAGACTACAGTTCCCAGATCCCTCTCTTGCAGTTTGTCTTATTTTTAAAAAAATGTTATGTTTAAAACTTAAAATAATTATTTTAAAAATCAGTAGATTGGTGAATTGTTTTGAAACTTGGCAGGCCTGCAGTTTTAAATGGGGTCTACAACTGAGGTAGGTTTCATGCAGATAGGCTGAGGATTGAACTTTTAAAATTTCCCCTTGTAGCCAATGGGCCAAATCTCTGCCAAATGACATGGAAAACACCCCTCCCCTTTTGCGTAACTTACTGTTGAACAAAATGAGACGTCAGATGAAAACGGACCTGGAATCTGTATGCTTTTTGACTCAAATGCACATGACTAAAGGCCACTCAATGTAAGAAGTAGGAGGAGGGCCATGTGGGCACCAGCCAGCTGCCCTTTCTTCCTGGAGCCAGCTAAGCCTTAATGTGGGAGTTCTGTGTCTTCCACCCCTGATGAGAAAGTCACAGCTTCAGGCGGAGCTGAAAAAAAGGGGCAAACCAGAATTCCTTCTTTCCATTTCAAGCCCTGATCCCAGTATCATGAGTGGGAGTGGGATGCATGAGGAATGGAGAGAAGGGCAGAGGGTCAAACCCCGTCTTTGATATCGTGAGCCTCACAAATAAGAAGGGCATTGTTTTGCCTGGTTTTTCAGTTCCAACACGATGGTAAATATGTATAATCAAAACATTGTCAACTGGGAAAAATATTTTAAAAATCAAAACCAAAACAACATGCCTGGGAGTCCAGTGGAATCTCCTTCTCTGGGAGTTTTTAAACAGAGACTGGATGGACATCTGTCAGGAGTGCTTTATGTATTCCTGAGTGGCAGGAGGTTGGGCTGGATGGCCCCTGGGGTCTTTTCCAACTCTGTTATTTATTTATTTGTCGTGTCAGGACAACCAGCGATTATATTACATTTCTAACAGAACAAAGCAAACAAACAGACAGAATACACAATTTGTGAGTTTGGAAGTTGATTAAATGTCCTTTGACCAGTATCTGTCCCCTTGGAGTGCCTCTGGTGTTGCCGCAAGAAGGTCCTTCATTGTGCATGTGGCTGGGCTCAGGTTGCATTGCAGCAGGTGGTCAGTGGTTTGCTCTTCTCCACACTCGCATGTCGAGGATTCCACTTTGTGGCCCCATTTCTTAAGATTGGCTCTGCATCTCGTGGTGCCAGAGCACAGTCTGTTCAGCGCCTTCCAAGTCGCCCAGTCCTCTGTGTGCCCATGGGGGAGTCTCTCATCTGGTATCAGCCATTGGTTGAGGTTCTGGGTTTGAGCCTGCCACTTTTGGACTCTCGCTTGCTGAGGTGTTCCAACTCTGTGATTCTATGTTTAGTTTTGATGAGCGCTGAAATGGGTACGCACGGCATACTTTGCTAAGAGTGAATCATGATTTCTGATCCAATATTCCTTAGAACTGTCATGTTTTCATTATCCTGCAGTCACCTTCACATTTACAAAACAAACAACGCCCACATTTATAAACGAGAGTTTGTACCTTTCCATTATCTGTACTTTAGAGTTGATATTATACCAGTATTTTTTTAAAAAACTAATTCAATTTCCAGCTGTTTTACTTGCAATTACACTGCTCACTAGACATGTTGACATTGGTGTAGGGAATTTTATACTGTGCTACTGGCAATATTGTGTCACTTGTTTTTCACAGAGCTGGCAGTGCCACAGCAAAACCACAAGTGACTTTGCGTTTATTACCTCTTCAAGTCTGGTGGCGACTTCGGGGCAGTCGAATGACAACAGGTGCGTTCAGAGGGCAAGACAGTGGAAGCACTGTTACTGGGAAAGCTAATATAGACTCTGTGAGGAGCACTGATTTATTTTTGTGTCTGCTTCCTCCTGCAGAAATGTGTGTTTGTGGGATACCCTGGTGTCACCATCAAATAACCTCATACATGGTAGGTTTATTACAGATCATCTCTTTATGGACAATATTCTGATTGTTGAGTTGATTGTTGATCCTTTCCTTTGTTTCTGAAAGTTGTAATATTAGTTTTGTGCAAAGCTGGCAGTTCATTATTGTTCTGAATAGGCATTGTTTTTATGCTTCTGCTTCCCAAGATCACATGTCAATTATTACCAATCCCTTACCATTGGGTGAACTCATTTTCAGAGTGCTAACTTTTGCATTCAACCCTGAAACTAGAAGAATGTATTTTCTCCTTCTTTCATTACTAGAATCCTGTTGACATCCAGTGAAGCTGAATTATGGGAGGTGATAATAATAATAATAATAATAATAATAATAATAATAATAATAATGTTTATTTCTACCCCGCCACCATCTCCCCAATGGGAACTCGGTGCGACTTACATGGGGCCAAGCCCGGACAACATAATACAGCAATAAAATCAAAGCATATACATCAGACAACAACAACATTATCAAAATGACATTATAATAATAATAAATTATTATTATTATTATTATTATTATTATTATAAATAATAATAAAGATGTGGGACATATATAATTATGTCTTCACATAGTACATAAACTATGGAATTGGAGCCCCCAGTGGCGCAGTGGGTTAAACCCCTGTGCCGGCAGGACTGAAGACCGACAGGTCGCAGGTTCGAATCCGGGGAGAGGCGGATGAGCTCCCTCTATCAGCTCCAGCTCCTCATGCAGGGACATGAGAGAAGCCTCCCACAAGGGTGATAAAAACATCAAATCATCCAGGCGTCCCCTGGGCAACGTCCTTGCAGATGGCCAATTCTCTCACACCAGAAGCGACTTGCAGTTTCTCAAGTCACTCCTGACACGACAAAAAAAAAAACCCCAAAAAAACTATGGAATTCATTATGTATTGTTGACCACCAGCTTGGACGATCTTGGTAGGTGGTCAACAATACATATCTTCCTTTATGTACCACCTCGTAGATTAAGATTGTCTGAGAAGAAGACCCTGCTCTCTGTCCGTCTTCCTCAGTTTTATTTATTTATTTATTTCCTATATTTATACCCCACCCTTCTTACCCCTGGGGGGGGGAGGGGGCTCAGGGCAGCCTCACAGAAGCACCATACGATGCCAGCATCATAAAAAAATTCAACAATACATTTAATATATTAAAAATAATTAAAACAATAGATTAAAACATGCCTATTGGTTCCGCCTTCCTCGCAAGCATAACTGGTGGGGATGAGAGACAGGGCCTTTTCAGTGGTGGCCCCTTGGTTGTGGAACTTCTTCCCCAGCGACATTAGATCAGCCCCCTCCTTCCTGGCCTTTAGAAGGAAAGTTAAAAAAAAACTTGGCTTTGGCATCAGGATTTAGGAGAATGGTGCAGTGCAATAACAAATTTGGAATATGTGCAGTGACTGCAATTATGGATGGCATGATTTTAGTATTGAATGAAATGTTTTTAAATGCATAATATGTAATAATTTTAATTTAATTTTATCTTAATGTTATTGGAATGGTATGTGTTTCAAGGCATCGAATATGCCTATATGTAAGCTGCCTTGAATTCCCTTCGGAACAGAGAAAGTCGGGGTATAAATAGGGTAAATAAATAAACAATACACATCAAGGCAATCATTGGCTACTACATTAAGGTGCTGCATGAGATTGTCCCCTGTGCAAGCCTCCCTGTACATTTGTTGAAAATTTCATGAGTTGACAAAGTCAGACCCAGGATGATATTTGGGGTGTGGTGAGATTGTGGGCAATGACTCTACAGGAGTGGGTCCCCAGGTGTTTTGGCCTACAACTCCCAGAAATCCCAGCCAGTTTACCAGCTGTTAGGATTTCTGGGAGTTGAAGGGCAAAACGTCTGAGGACCCACAGATTGAGAATCGGTGCTCTATGGGGAAATTTACAGAGGACTACTTCCAGAGGAAAGTTCATCAACAGAGCTGTGGCAGGTCACGTCAAGGGTTTGTAGGGTCCAGCATTTTTATTCCCACAGTGGCCAATTACCTTATTATATTATATTATATTATATTATATTATATTATATTATATTATATTATATTATATTTGAGGTTTTTTAAACAATGAAGGTTAAAAATGAAGAAATATCGCAGATAACTGAAAAAACAAAAAAATAGATAAGAGGTGAACTGAAAGAAAAAGATAGTAAAGAGAAGTAAGGAAAAGAAAGAAGGAAAGAGAGAAGAAAATAATAATAATAATTCCCAGTCTTCTTCATTGTGGTTTATTTTAGTTCTTACTGTTTTTATTCGTCCGTCCACTCCTCCTCTGTCTAACCTTTTTGGAGCTCTATATTTTCAAGTTAACTTTGGTCTCTTTCAAATAGTCCTTAAGTAGTGTCCAGTCCGTGGTTTTTATACCTCTTTCTTGTGATTTTGCAACTAAGAAGATCAAATTCCAGTTATCAATAGGAAGTCTACAAGCAGTCCTGAGTGAATTGAATATTTACTCCTGAGTGAACTGAACATTTCTGTTCGTTAAGTACCCACTCCTGAATAGACCAGTGATTAAAATATTTAAATATTTTATGGAGTACTTTGAATGTTTTATTGGAATGGGCTCAGGAACAGATTTCACCAAAAAATGTTTGAATTGTTAGCAAAAGCTGGGCTTCCTTGATTCTTGGCAATGAGCGCCAGCAATGGCATGCATCCTAGATCTACAAGTGTAAAGGATTTGCACCTCTAAGCTACTTCAGATGTTGTCAACTGAACAGACAAATGTGTTCCAAAGTCTCTTTTGTGTGATGCATCCTGTTTTATGGTGATCTTTATGTCTGACTGCTTTGTAAACAGACTTTATACTGCTTCATAGACACAATAATCTCATCACATCTCCAGAATGCATCCAGATCCATTTTAAAACTTTATTACATACTAGCCACCCCCTGCCACGCATTGCTGTGGCCCAGTCTATGTATATGTGTTTTGCGTTTTTTTGTGTGTCTATGTGTATATGTATATTTGTGTATATGTGTATTTATAAATACACATGTGGTTATGCCACAGCCCCCGGTGGCACAGTGGGTTAAACCACTGAGCTGCTGAACTTGCTAATCAAAAGGTCACAGATTCGAATCCAGGGAGTGGCACGAGCTCTCGCTTTCAGCCCCTAGCAATTAGAAAACATACAAATGTGAGTAGATCAATAGGTACCTCTCCGGCGGGAAAGTAATGGTGCTCCATGCAGTCATGCCAGCCATGGAGGTGTCTATGGACAACGCCGGCTCTTCGGCTTAGAAATGGAGATGAGCACCACCCTCTAGAGTCGGACTCGACTAGACTTAATGGCAAGGGGAAACCTTTACCTTTTTAGAAGTGGGTTAAACCACTGAGCTGCTGAACTTGCTGACCGAAAGGTTGCAAGTTCGAATCCGGGGAGCGGCATTGGGGGAATCCGGGGAATTGTCAGACCCTGGCAATTCAAAAACATGCAAATGTGAGTAGATCAATAGGTACCTCTCTGGCGGGAAAGTAACGGTGCTCCATGCAGTCATTCTGGCCATGGAGGTGTCTATGGACAACGCCGGCTCTTCGGCTTAGAAATGGAGATGAGCATCACCCTCTAGAGTCGGACTCGACTAGACTTAAGGGCAAGGGGAAACCTTTAACTTTACCTTTTTAGCAGTGGGTTAAACCACTGAGCTGCTGAACGTTCTGACCAAAAGGTTGCAGGTTCGAATCCGGGGAGCGGCATGAGCTCCTACTTCCAGCCCCTAGCAATTCAAAAACATGAAAATGTGAGTAGAGCGATAGGTACCTCTCCGACGAAAAAGTAACCGTGCTCCATACAGTCATGCCGGCCATGGAGGTGTCTATGGACTCTGGCTCTTCCGCTTAGAAATGGAGATGAACACCACCCTCATGGAGATGAGCACCACCCTCTAGAGTCGGACTCGACTAGACTTAATGGCAAGGGGAACCTTTTAGCAGTGGATTAAACCACTGAGCTGCTGAACTTGCTGACCAAAAGGTTGCAGGTTGGAATCCGTGGAGCAGCATGAGCTCCTGGTGTCAGACCCTGGCAATTCAAAAACATGCAAATGTGAGTAGATCAATAGATACCTCTCCAGCGGGAAAGTAACGGTGCTCCATGCCAGCCATGGAGGAGTCTATGGACAAGCCCAGCTCTTCAGCTTAGAAATGGAGATGAGCACCAGACCCCAGAGTTGGACTCGACTAGACTTAATGTCATGGGGAAACCTTTACCTTTTTAGCAGTGGGTTAAACCACTGAGCTGCTGAACTTGCTGACCGAAAGGTTGCAGGTTCGAATCTGGGGAGCAGCATGAGCTCCCGCTGTCAGACCCTGGCAATTCAAAAACATGAAAATGTGAGTAGATCAATAGGTACCTCTCCGGCGGGAAAGTAACGGTGCTCCATGCAGTCATGCCGGCCATGGAGGTGTCTATGGACAACGCCGGCTCTTTGGCTTAGAAATGAAGATGAGCACCACATCCCAAAGTCGGACACGACTGGACTTAATGTCAGGGGAACAATGTGGTTATGTGTATGCGTTGTATTTTTATTATTATTATTTAGCTTTTTACAGTCTCTTCTGCTGTGTTTTTCAATGTTTTTTTGGTTGATGGTCACTCTTTGGCCTGATAGGTGTATTGTGTCCAAATTTGGTGTCAATTTGGCCAGTGGTTTTTGAGTTATGTTAGTCCCACAAACGAACATTACATTTTTATTCATATAGATGTGCAATCTCTGTCTGTTTGTCTCCCACTCACACATACATATACACATGCCTTCCCTCCCTCCCTAAGTAGATAGGGAACTGAATGGCCTCAGAGCTGCAAAAACTTTGGCTCTTCCTATGCTAGACTAAACACCAGCTAATCATTGTGATAACAGCCCAAACACTGCCAAGTATGCAATGATAGGCAAGCTCCATCGTAACAACCTGAGCTCGCTTGGAGAGTGTCATATGTTATAGGAGAAACCTAGTGAAAAAGAATGGGTGCAAAATCTTTTTACAGAGAAACCATGGAGTATTTGAATGCAGCAACCACGACACTGCATCATTCTTAGCTTTGACTTCAAGGGCAGAGCTTGAAAGTAATTCATTGCAGGTAATGAATCCCTTGAAATGATTTCCTTTTTCCAAGAAGAAAAGTGTAACTACATGAATGGGGGACGATGCTTAGTTCGACAGCAGTATGTGTGAAAAAGATCTTGGAGTTCTCGTGGACAAGAAAGTAAACAAGAGCCAACAATGTGATGGAGTGGCTAAAGAAGCCAATGGGATTTTGGCCTGCATCAATAGGAGTACAGTGTCAAGACCAGTGGTTCTCAACTTGTTGTTCTCCAGGTGTTTTGGCCTACAACTCCCAGAAATCCCAGTCATTTTACCAGCTGTTAGAATTTTTGGGAGTTGAAGGCCAAAATATCTGGGGATCCACGGGTTAAGAACCACGGGTCTAGATCCAGGGTCGTCATGCTACCCATTCTACCTTGGTCAGACCACACCTGGAATACTGTGTCCAATTCTGGACACCACAATTGAAGGGAGATGTTGGCAAGCTGGAAAGTGTCCAGAGGAGGGTGACTCAAATGATCAAGGGTCTGGAGAACAAGCCCTATGAGGAGCGGCTTAAAGAGTTGGACATGTTTAGCCTGAAGAAGAGAAGGCTGAGAGGAGACATGATAGCCATGTATAAATATGTGAGTGGAAGTCACAGGGAAGAGGGAGCAAGCTTGTTTTCTGCTGCCCTGGAGACTAGGACGCGGAACAATGGCTTCAAACTACAAGAGAGGAGATTCCACCTGAACATGAGGAAGAACTTCCTGACTGTGAGAGCTGATCAGCAGTGGGACTGTCTTCCCTGCAGTGTGGTGGAGGCTCCTTCTTTGGAGACTTTTAAACAGAGGCTGGATGGCCATCTGTCAGGGGTGCTTTGAATGTAATTTTCCTGCTTCTTGTAAGGGGGTTGAACTAGATGGCCCATGAGGTCTCTTCCAACTCAATGATTCTATGACATTGTGACTGTAACTTACTTGGGAAATGATACATGCAGAGCCTCCCTTATCCAAAATGCTTTCAATCAAAGAATTTTCAGATTTCAGACTTTTTTAATTTTTGGGAATACTTGTATTTGTTTATACATAGTAAAGAAAGCCTGGCGAGTTGTAAGGAACTCAAGCAGGCACTCTCCATTTTTTATTCCAGTTGCATCCAACGTTTTTTAGGTGTTGAACCTGCTCAGTATTCAGTGTGATATTTGGGGAGAGTTATCCTCTTGGATTAATATATCAGAAGTGAACAATGGCTAGACCATTATATGCTGTGGAATGTATGTCTCATTAGCCTGACCTGCATAGCCTACACTGAAGGAAGAGAGAAATCGCAGTCCGGCAATGTCTGGAGGCCATATTTACCCTATCATGAGTTCAAAGCCAGCCTGGATTGGAATGAGCTTCCGACCATCTGTGTAGCTTGCTGTCGACTTTTGCAGCCAGGGCCAGAGTAAATCGAGAGGGGGACAGGGGACAGTTCCATCTTGTCTCCTGTGCTATGCTAATAATATAATATAATATAATATCTATATATATAAATCTGTTATGGGCGTTCAACGGAGCCACAAAACTCAAAAAAACCCTGACGAAAATTTACCAAATTTACCATGCACATACCACAACCCACAAGGTATGCACAAACCGATTCAAAATTCGAAACAACACAACGACACACTCACAACAACGAAAAACAACTGAACATGTGCAGAGGCGCCCCGCCGCAAGTCCCCGGCGTGCACACATGGCCGGCCGGCCAATGCACCCTCCGCGCAAGCCCCGCCCCCACCCACCGACGCCTGTCCCCTACACTCCTCCTCCCCACCCCCCTCTGTGCAAGCCCCGCCCCCACTCACCGACGCCCCGCCCCTACACTCCTCCGCCCACCCCCCTCTGTGCAAGCCCCACCCCCACCCACCGACGCCCCGCCCCTACACCCCACCTCCTCCTCCGCCCACCCCCCTCTGCGCAAGCCCCGCCCCCATCCACCAACGCCCCACACCTACACCCCTCCTCCTCCGCCCACCCCCCCTGGGCAAGCCCTGCCCCCACCCACCGACTCCCCTCGCCTGCCCTCCTCCTCCTCCGCCCACCCCCCTCTGGCAAGCCTGCCCCCACCCACCGACACCCCGCCCCACACCCTCCTCCTCCTCCGCCCACCCCCCTCTGTGCAAGCCCCGCCCCCTCCCCCCTTCACTTAAAAAAATGATTTGTCATTTGGGAGTTGTAGCTGCTGGGGTTTATAGTTTACCTAAAATCAAAGCATTCAGAACTCCACCAACAATGGAATTGAACCGAATGTGGCACACAGAACTCCCATGACCCAATGGAAAGCACGAAAAGGGCTTGGTAGGCATTGGGAAGGAAGAAAGGAAGGAGGGAAGGAAGAAAAAAAAGAGGTACCGAAGGAAGGAAAAAGAGAAAGTAGAAAGGAAAGAAAAATAAAAGGAAGGAAAGGCAGGAAAGAGGTAAAGAAGGAAGGAGAAAAGGAAATAAAAAGTGAAAGAAGGAAGGAAACATGGAGGGAAGAAAGGAGGCAAAGGAAGAAAGGGGGAGGGAATGAAGGAAAGAGAGAAGGATGAAACCAAGGAGCGAAAGAAGGAAAGAAAGGAAGAAAGAAAGAAAGAAAGAAAGAAAGAAAGAGGTAAGAGAAGGAAGAAAGGAGAGAAAGGGGGAGAAAAAGGGGGAAGGAATAGGTAGGTACCTGTCTTTCATAAAAGTCCAAATATCTACCTCTACTTTGAAAAGTTTTACTATAGGCCACAGCAACGCGTGGCAGGGCACAGCTAGTAATATAATATATTGTATATACATATAATATTCATAATATTATAATGTAATACAATATACTAATAATAATAATAATAATAATAATAATAATAATAATGTCACTCTCTTAGCCACCCCTGTGGGCAATTTTGGAGTATTGTATTCCTATTATATTTATTTAATCTAAACTGTGTTTCATGCTCAATATAATTTAAAATATGAGTGTACAAAATGGACCGGGCTGTGTCTCAGCTGGTTGGGAGTCAGCTGCATTAAAATCATTACTGACCGAAAGATCATGAGTTTGAAGCCAGCTCAGGTCGGAGTAAGCTCCCTACCATTTGCCTAGCTTTCTGATGACCTTTGCAGTCCGAAATGCAGTTGCATCTGTCAATCAGGAAATTTAGGTACCGCTTATGTGGGGACGCTAATTTAACTAATTTACGATGCCATAAAATTTCCAGCAAGCAAACAAAAGAATGAGGAAGTACTCCATCAGTGTCACAAATGGACGATGAAGCGACAGCTCCCCTGGTGGCCAGAATACCCTCATGAAGCTGGAATGTTAAATAGCCTCTGTGTGTCTGCCTATATATGTTGTGTGTCTATGGCATTGAATGTTTGCCATGTATATGCACATTGTAATCTGCCCTGAGCCCTTTGCGGGGTGAGAAGGGCAGAGTATAAATACTGCAAGTAAATAAATATCCCTTATCTGAATAGTAGTACTTCTGGAGGCCTCAAGTGTAAAATAGTACGTCTGTGGTCTCTTTTTAGCTATAAAACAATGGTGCATCAAGTATGCTGAGACTTCCTTCTCATGGCTTCATTTCAGCTTGGTTCATTTTTCACAACACAACTTCCCTATAAGTGGGAAACTAACCAAGACTTGTAAATTATTAAAAATATATTTTGTGTCCATCTCCTTTAGCCTTCACTTGTCATGACCATGGTGCTACAGTGCTTCAGTATGCACCGAAGCACCAACTACTGATTTCTGGAGGCAGGAAAGGGTACATTTCCCTCTTTGACATCAGACAGAGGCAAGCCCTTCATACCTTCCAAGCGCATGACTCTTCAATCAAAGCCCTGGCGCTTGACTCCTCTGAAGAATGTTTTTGTACCGGTTCTGCTGAAGGCAATGTGAAGGTAAGCTTCTCCTGTGTCTAATGGGAACATCTCTGACCCAAATGTTTTGATGTGGGCCAAAGTAAAGATAACATGTTTTGTCCTTGTGTTCCATGTAAAGACATGGTTATGGAACCAAGCTTTTGGCTTATTTATTTATCGTGTCAGGAGCAACCAGACAGTTGTATTACATTTTTAACAAAACAAACAAACAGACAGAACCCAAAGTTTGCCAGCTTGGTAGTTGATTAAATGTCCTTTGACCAGTATCTGGCCACTTGGAGTGCCTCTGGTGTTCCGAAGAGCCAAGTTTCACTCTTTTTCAAAAGGTCAGGAGGGAGGGGGCTGATCTAATATCCCTAGGCAGGGAGTTCCACAGCCGAGGGGCTGCCACAGAGAAGTCCCTGTCTCTCGTCCCCATCAAGCGTGCTTGTGAAGTAGGTGGAATCGAGATCAAGGCCTCCTCCGACAATCTCAAGTTCCTGGTGGGTTCATAGGAAGAGCTGCATTCGGATAGAGAAGCCTGCCTTGTGGCTTCTTCTTCAGAGCGGGCATAATAGGATGACTTTGGACCCAGGTTCTACTAACAAAACTGCTTATTTGCTCTTAATTTTGATCTAGGTGTGGAGACTGACCGGCTATGGCTTAATCCATTCATTTAAGCATGAGCACGCCAAGCAGTCCATCTTCCGAAACCTGAGCACCGGAGTCATGCAGATCGAAATGGGGCAAGGCAATCGCCTCTTCTCCTGTGGAGCGGATGGCACGTTGAAGATGCGGGTGTTACCCAATGCTTTCAATATCCCTTCGAGCCTTTGTGACATTCTGTAGGCTTTGCTGCTGCCGCCGCTGCTCCGTTGTGACAAGGTTTACGTTCCGAGAGAACTGTTAGGTGCTGTAGGAAGCATTTCAGAAGGAACGCTACCATACTTTGCTATCTGAGTAGTTTATTATGGCACTTTAATGCTACAGTTGATTCACAGGAAGACCAATGTTTTGATCTTTTTACAAACAACACACACACACGCATATTTGTATTGTTTCGAGCACTGCATCTATGGATTCATGGGGATGGAAATGCATGTTGCGATCCAGCAGCGCACTAGCTGGGCCTATGCTCTCTGACCCATGAACCTTGTTTACTGAAGTAAGCGGAAATCTGCTTACATTCCTGCAGTTGCAGCAAATTACCTAAAGTAAGTGGGGTTTTTTTGATGTAGGTTTGGAATATTCTTCCAAATCCACGCCACTGATTTGAAGCATGTCTTGCATTATTTTTCCCTCTGTTTTCAACATAATTCTCTATAATGAAGGATATTCCAAGTGAGTGTGGTTTTACGTTGTTTATTATTATGATTATGATTATTATTATTAATTGTTGTTGCTATTATTTTGGGTCATACCACTACGACTTTGTGATGACCACCCAATCAGTGGACCAGTGTGCAATGAGGAATGTACTGTGGGCTAAGTGTGAATATTAATTTAATGCTGGGATCCTTTTCCCCCCTCCTCCCCGGTTAGTATTAATGCACAGTCGGCGCTTAAGTTGCACAGAAGCACATTTCTCAGAGCCTTGTGGGATTTTCCTGAAACTGCATACTGTTTGCGCTTTATGTTTTGTTTGGGCAGCAGACACAGACATTGTGAAATGCATGGGGCCGCCATTGAAAACGAGAGCCTAGTGTCTATTCCTTCCCTTTTCGATAATATATAACTTTAATCCTTTCCTTGGTGCATTTCGTCATCTGTTTCTTCATACCGTTTACTGGGGAGGGCTAGGAATGAAGGCATTTAATGACATTGGAATAAGTACTTACTTACTGAGGTGATCCCTCGTTGTCTCAGTAGGATAGTCTTCCAAGATCAGTGTACTGGTGGGTCCGTAGGTGACTGGTGGAAAACTATTCTTGATCTGCACGTTCTCCCGCAGTGAGGGGATTAGTTTCCAGGTGGAAGGCGGTCCCGGTCGAGGTTGGCTTGACGCGCCTTCCTCTTGGCACATTTCTCTCTTTCGCCCTCCATTCGTGCCTCTTCAAATTCTACAGCACTGCTGGTCACAGCTGACCTCCAGCTGGAGCACTCAAGGGCCAGGGCTTCCCAGTTCTCAGTGTCTATGCCAGAGTTTTTATGGTTGGCTTTGAGCCCATCTTTCAATCTCTTTTCCTGCCCACCAAGATTCCGTTTTCCATTCTTGAGTTCGGAGTAGAGCAGCTGCTTTGGGAGACGGTGGTCGGGCATCCGGACAACGTGGCCGGTCCAGCGGAGTTGATGGTGGAGGACCATCGCTTCAGTGCTGGTGGTCTTTGCTTTTTCCAGCACGCTGATATTTGTCTGCTTGTTTTCCCAAGAGATTTGCAGGATTTTCCGGAGGCAGCGCTGATGGAATCGTTCCAGGAGTTGCGTGTGACATCTGTAGACAGTCCATGTTTTGCAGACATATAGCAGGGTTGGTCTTTGCTTCTTCCAGCACGCTGAAGTAAATTGCATGAGACATTACGGCAGGAAAGAAGGAATCCAATCAGAAGGACTTCCATGTTCACCAGTCGCTCCATGTCTTTTGTAACATCAATTCCATAATTTAAATTCCCACTTTTTTTTTTTTACTCCTGCTTTTGAATTAGGAATCTGCCATTTGTAGTGAACACAAACCATCCTTTGAAAACTTTTGGCCATCCAGTGGTGCAGCAGGTTAAACTGCTGAACTTGCTAACCAAAAGGTTGGCGGTTCGAATCCGGGTAGTGGCGTGAGCTCTCGCTGTTAGCCCCAGCTCCTGCCAACCTAGCAGTTCGAAAACATGCACATGTGAGTAGATCAATAGGTACCACTTCTTGGGAAAGGTAACAGCACTTCATGCAGTCATGCCAGCCACATGACCTTGGAGGTGTCTATGGACAATGCCGGCTCTTCGGCTTAGAAATTGAGTTGAGCACCAATCCCCAGAGTCGGAGACGACTAAACTTGATGTCAAGGGAAACCTTTACCTTTTTCTTTTTTTGGAGGACTTTTAAATTTCTATTTTATTTTGAGAGAGAAATAATTTTGAAAAGCACTGCAGTCACTAAAGCTATAGAAGAAGCTACCGGTAGACCCATACAAATGCCACATTTCAGATGAATGTCAGGCTTACATGTGGCCAGCTAGTAAATAGTTGACAAAACTGGTAATCTAAACTGTTTTCGCAGCATATTGTATAAACTATGCAGAGGTCAGTATTGTTTGCTTGTAATATACCAGCTATCGTCCGTCATCTTTAGATGTATTTTTTCTCTGTTGTAAACAGGAAGACAGGCTCTCACTACGATAACGGAGCAGATGTCTGTGTATTTAAATGTTAAACAAATTGTATTTTTTTTCTCCTTCATCGGGAACCTTGATGTCTGTGTTGTATTGTAAAAGGGGGGGACGGGGGCGAAATGCTGAGATAAAACTGCACCTTTGTCTAAAGGCAATTTTTAATTGCAAGCTGTGAAGTATGTATATGAAGAGAAAGCAAATGTCATTTGTTGGTTTTACCTTTGTAACTTAAATAAATTCCTTTTATTTCACGGAACACCCTTGAGTCTCTAGTTTTGAAAGTAGTAACAGGAGATTGTTGTAGATTTTTCGGGCTGTATGGCCATGTGCTAGGAGCATTCTCTCCTGACGTTTCACCTGCATCTGTGGCAAGCATCCTCCAAGGTTGCGAGGTTTATTATATATCTGTGGAAGGTCCAGGGTGGGAGAAAGAACTCTTGTCTGTTGGAGCTAGGTGTGAATGTTTCAATTGGCCACCTTGATTAGAATTTGATGGCCTAACAGTTTTAGGTGTGACTTGTTACTGCCTGGGGAATTCTTTGTTGAGAAGTGATAAGCTGTCCCTGATTGTTTCTTGTCTGGATTTCCCCCGTGTTTGAGTGTTGTTCTTTATTGACTGTTATAATTTTAGAGTTTTTTAGTACTGGTAGCCAGATTTTGTTCATTTTCATGGTTTCTTCCTTTCTGTTGAAATTGTCCACATGTTTATGGATTTAGAATCATAGAATCCTAGAGTTGGAAGAGACCTCATGGGCCATCCAGTCCAACCCCCTGCCAAGAAGCAGGGATATTGCATTCAAAGCACCCCTGACAGATGGCCATCCAGCCTCTGTTTAAAAACCTCCAAAGAAGGAGTCTCCACCACCCCCCAGGGCAGAGAGTTCCACTGCTGAACAGAACTCACAGTCAGGAAGTTTCAGTGACTTCTCTGTGTAACCTGACATGGTGGTTGTGAGAGTGGTCCAGCCTTTCTGTGTTCTCCAATAATATGCTGTGTCCAGGTTGGTTCATCAGGTGCTCTGCTATGGCTAACTTCTCTGGTTGAGTTAAGTCTGCAGTGCCTTTCCTGTTCCTTGATTCGTGTTTGGGCAATGCTGCACTTGGTGGTCCCTATGTAGACTCCACACAGGAAACAATCAGGAACATCTGGTCACCTCTCAACAAGGGAATTTCCCAGGCAGTAACAAGCCGCACCAGGACTGTGGCGCAGCTGCCTGGGAGTCAGCTGCATTAAGATCACTACTGACCAAAAGGTCATGAGTTCAAAACCAGCCCGGGTTGGAGTGAGCTTCCGACCAATTTGTGTAGCTTGCTGTCAACCTTTGCCCATCTTGTCTCCTGCATATGTCGTCAGTTGGAGACCCCTCCCTCCAGTAACAACTGTTGCTCTGAGTCAGAGTGAAGACAGGAGAGGCCAGGAGACTGTACCACCTTGTCTCCTGTGCTATGCTAATATATATATATATATATATATATATATATATATATATAATTTATTTATTTATTTATTTACTATATTTCTATACCGCCTTTCTCAGCCCGAGGACGACTCAGGGCGGTTTACAGAACTGGCACAATTTGATGCCACAATAATATAATATAATATAATATAATATAATATAATATAATATAATATAATATATTGTATATATCTATAATATTTATAACATTTAATGTAATACAGTATAATACTAATAATAATATATTATATTAATATATTTTATATTACATGTAATATTACTAATAACATTACATTATAATTGTATGGTACAATATAGTGATATATAGCGCTGATAGTGTACTGTGCTAATGATATAATGTATTGTATGTGTGTGTATCTTGTAAGCCGCTCTGAGTCCCCTTCGGGGTGAGAAGAGCAGCATATAAATGTCACAAATAAATAAATTTGCAGCCCGAAAGACAGTTGCATCTGTCAAGTAGGAGATTTAGGTACCGCTTATGCAGGGAGGCTAATATATGACACCATAAAAATCTCCAGCAAACACACAAAGAATGAGGAAGTACTTCATTAAGTGTCACAAATGGACAGTAAGGCGACAGCTCCCCTGGTGGCCAGAATGCCCTCATGAAAAAGCTGGAATGTTAAATAGCTTCTCTGTGTTTGTCTATATATGTTGTGTGTCTCTGGCATTGAATGTTTGCCATGTATTTGTACATTGTAATCCACCCTGAGTCCCCTGTGAGGTGAGAACGGCGGAATATAAATCCTGCAAATAAATAAATAAATAACTGTCAGGCCATCAAATGCTAATCAAGGTGGACAATTGAAACATTTGCACCGAACTCCAACAGACAAGTGTTCTTTCTCCCACCCTGGACCTTCCACAGATATATAAACCCAATTTTCCAACAAACCTCATAACCTCTGAGAATGCTTGCCACAAAAACAGGCAAAATGTCAGGAGAGAATGCTTCTAGAACATGGCCATACGGCCCGAAAAACCTACAACAACCCAGTGATTCCAGTCATAAAAGCCTTTGACAATGCATAGTAGCAGGAGGCTTTGCCCAAAGCTTTTACTTTGCAACCCTTTCTTTCTGGTATTGTAATTCACTGCACTGATTGTCAGATATGAGATGATAACATCTCAGAAATTTAGATTTCTTTAAAAAATGAAGCATATGTGAAATTGACAGATGTATTCCTCTCGGCTCAGGACTTTGAGCACTGGGCTTTGAAAAGGTTGCCTTTGCATCCCTGTCTGATTGAACCACCTCTTTTTGTGTCCTCTCCTTTTAACACATTTGCATCAAATAGGCACCTAAAAATGACATCTGGCAAGTGCAAACGGGGAAGAATTTTGTTTTGGTTCACATTTGAAGAATAGACTTGTTAACAAATCACTGTTAACGAAAAGATTTGTAGTTTTTGCAGAGCCATTTTTGTTTGATTTCCAAAAAGAGAAAGAGGAAGAGAGAGAGACTAAAAGACCAGCAAAACGGATTCAGAGAGACAATATTTTCAGAAAGAGTTAAGTCCACAAAATACCTGAGACAGGGGGATCTGTGGCATCTTTTTCTCTCCCCAGCAGAAGAAGCCTCCTCCATTTTTTCTTGGAAAGTTACCTCCTCCTCTAGAGATAGCCCTGGGAACTCGATTTCCCAGTAGCACTAGCATAGGGTGGCCATTGAAAGTTCCTCTGGGATCATGATGGGAGTTGAAGTTTTTCTCTCTGTGTGTCTCTAAGCCCGTAAAAAGAGACACACAGAGAGATTGGAAAGTTACCCAAAAGGTAACAAATCTGCTGATTTTTTAGATTTATTTATTTATTTATTTATTTATTTATTTATTTATTTGACTTGTATACCGCTACTCCCAATTTGGCTCGGAGCGGTTTACAGCAGTAGATTAAAACAATACGATTAACTTTAAAATACAATAAAAACAAGAACAGACATAGTCCCGAGTTATTTACCCATCAAAAGCTTGTCGGAAGAGAAAGGTTTTACAGCAGGGTTTCTCAACCTGGGGTCAGGACCCCTGTGGGGGTCACGAAGGTGTATCAGAGGGGTCACCAAAGACCATTAGAAACACAATATTTTCTGTTGGTCATGGGGGTTCTGTGTGGGAAGTTTGGCCCAGTTCTATCGTTGGTGGGGTTCAGAATGCTCTTTGATTGTAGGTGAACTATAAATCTCAGTAACTATAACTCCCAAATGTCAGGGTCTACTTCTCCCAAACTCCACCAGTGTTCAAATTTGGGCATATGGAGGATTCGTGCCAAGTTATGTCCAGATCCATCATTGTTTGAGTCCACAGTGCTCTCTAGTTGTGGGTGAACTACAACTCCCAATCATATGTATTTACTGTATTATTATAAGTGTCTTATTTTAACTTTCTACGTGGAGTGTGATCAGGTCTTGTCAGGCCTTGTTGTTCTGTTTCTTATTGTGATATGGCCTAAGGGCTAATCAATAAAATTACTACTACTACAACTCCCAAACTCAAGGTCAATGCCCACCAAACCCTTCCAGTATTTTCTGTTGGCCATGGGAGTTCTGTGTGCCATGTTTAGTTCAATTCCATTGTTGGTGGGGTTCAGAATGCTCTTTGATTGTAGGTGAACTATAAATCTCAGCAACTCCAACTCCCACATGTCAAGGTCTATTTTCCCCCAAACTCCACCAGTGTTCACATATGGGCATATTGAGTATCCATGCCACGTTTGGTCCAGATCCATCATTGTTTGAGTCCACAGTGTTCTCTGAATGTAGGTGAACTACAACTCCAAAACTCAAGATCAATGCTCACCAAACCCTTCCAATATTTTCTATTGGTCATGGGAGTTGTGTATGTCAAGTTTGGTTCCATTTCATCGTTGATAGAGTTCAGAATGCTCTGATTGTGGGTGGACTATGAATCCCAGCAACTACAACTCCCAAAATCAATTTGCCTGAACCCCACCAGTATTCAAATCTGGTTGTATTGAGTATTTGTGCCAAATTTGGTCCAGTGAATGAAAATGCATCCTGCATGTCAGATATTTACATTATGATACATAACAGTAGCAAAATCACAGTTGTGAAGTAGCAACAAAAATAATTTTATGGTTACCCCCAACCACAACATGAGGAACTGTATTAAGGGGTCGCAGCATTAGGAAGGTTGAGAAACACTGTTTTACAGGCTTTCCGAAAAGCAAGTAGGTCTCGGATGATTCGGGTTTCAACTGGCAAGGCATTCCATAAATAAGGGGCCACGATCGAGAAGGCTCTCTGCCTAGTCGAGGACAGATGATAAGTCCGGATGTTGGGGACTTCAAGCAAATTTTGGTCTTCGGACCGAAGTAATCTCTGGGGTTGGTAGGGGGGTAAGTGGGCCCTCAGGTACGCCGGCCCCAGACCATATAAGGCCTTAAAGGTTAGTACCAGCACCTTGAAAGTGATCCAGTACTCAATTGGTAGCCAGTGCAACTGTTGGAGAATTGGGGTGATACGATACCTTGCCGGCACCCCGGCAAGAAGACGAGCCGCCGCATTTTGCACCAGCTTCAGTTTCCGGATCACTGACAAAGGAAGGCCAATGTAGAGGGCGTTACAGTAGTCAAGCCTCGAGATGACCGTCGCCTGGATCACCGTAGCCAGGTCGTTCCTAGATAGGAAGGGAGCCAGTCGCCTAGCCTGACGTAGGTGGAAAAACACAGATCTCCTCACAGCAGAGACCTGGGCCTCCCTTGTGAGCAGAGGGTCCAATAAGACACCAAGACTTTTTACAGAAGGTGATGGACGTAGTGTCTCGCCATCCAGGTTAGGCAGCTGGATTTAACCATAACATTTGGGAATTGTAATCACTGGTTGCGTCCATGCTCTCACTGGCTGAAAATGAAAACAACCAGTGACTACAATTCCCAAATGTTATGGTTAAAACTTAAAATAATTCTAAAAAAATCAGTAGATTTGTTACCTTTTGGGTAACTTTCCAGTAAAAAATGAAGAGTCAGACGAAAATGGACCTGAAAACTGCCCGAATACACATGGCTGTTGAAGGAGTTACCCAAATTCACAAAGCAGACTTTCAGAATGAGAGGGTTTTTAATCAAATACAGGAGAAAGCAAACACTGATTGATGTGGCCATTTTCTCAACAAAAAAAAAACCCTGCTAGGATCTTGTGGGTTTTTTTCGGGCTATGTGGCCATGTTCTAGAGGCATTTCTCCTGACGTTTCGCCTGCATCTATGGCAAGCATCCTCAGAGGTAGTGAGGTCTGTTGGAACTAGGAAAATGGGTTTATATATCTGTGGAATGACCAGGGGGGGACAAAGGACTCTTGTCTGCTGGAGCTAGGTGTGAATGTTTCAACTGACCACCTTGATTAGCATTTGATGGCCTGGCAGTGCCTGGGGCAATCTTTTGTGGAGAGGTGATTAGAGGTTTCCTCTCTGCTGTTTTGCTATTGTGGACAAGTCTACATAGGGACCACCAAACGCAGCATTGCCCAAACACGAATCAAGGAACATGAAAGGCACTGCAGACTACTTCAACCAGAGAAGTCAGCCATAGCAGAGCACCTGATGAACCAGCCTGGACACAGCATATTATTTGAGAACACAGAAATGCTGGACCACACCAACAACCACCATGTCAGACTACACAGAGAAGACATTGAAATCCACAAGAAGCATGTGGACAATTTCAACAGAAAGGAAGAGACCATGAAAATGAACAAAATCTGGCTACCAGTATTAAAAAAACTCTAAAATTACAACAGCAAAACAGCAGAGAGGAAACAACCAGGCACATCTTAACACCTCTCAACAAAAGATTTTCCCAGGCTCAGGCAGGCCTTCAAATGCTAACGAAGGTGGTCAGTTGAAACATCCACACCTAGCTCCAGCAGAGAAGAGCTCTCTGCCCCACCCCAGCCATTCCACAGATATATAAACCCATTGTCCTAATTCCAACAGACCTCACTACCTCTGAGGATGCTTGCCATAGATGCAGGCGAAACGTCAGGAGAAATGCCTCTAGAACATGGCCCTATAGCCCGAAAAAAACCCACAAGAACCTAGTGATTCCAGCCATGAAAGCTTTCGACAATACAAAAACCCTGCTGTTTTTATGAAGGCCAAAAATAATCATCTTAATATATAAAATTTCATCTCGAAATGAGTTCAGCGGATAAAATGGATGGGGTACTGCATTAGGAAGCCATGCTCCCAGGTGTAGAGTTGCTTATCGACCTGATTGTAGGAGAGCATGGCTAGTACAGGCACAAACGTCGTGTCGTTCTTCTTGAGAGCGGATACTTTGAGTGGAAAACCCGCATCGGAGAGGGACAGTTTCAGCTCAAAGCTTGTGTCCAGCTGCTTCTCTCGCAAGAGGTCAAAAGCAAATGCCACGTGGATCTGGTTCTTGTCGGTGATGTACAACACTCCGCAGGCGACAAAGGCGCTCCCCGCTTTGGACTGTGGGTAAGTTGTATTGATGTGCCGCAGCACTGAAAATGCTTCTGGGTCGACGTGCGCAACCACAATATGCTCATCGGGCCTTGATAGATACATCACCCAGAGCCCGTTTTCATCGGCAGCGATGCTGAAGTAGGACTTGGACGTGTTGAAAAGGTACATGCGCTCATAGTACCAGGCATTCTCAATGGAGAGAGTTTTGGCCAAACCTGTTGCCAAGTCGTATCTGCAATAGATTTTTTTAAAAGTTAAAAACAACAGAAGAATTCAGGCATGTATATATTTATTATTATTACTAGCCGTCCCCTGCCACAAGTTGCTGTGGCCCAGTCTGGTGATCTGGAAAATAAAGTAATGGTTTCTAATCTATGTAATGTCTTTCTGCTTGTAGGTAAACAGTATTTCTTGTTGTTTCTTTGTCAGTGTTGATGTGGAGAGTGTCTGGTTTGCCTACTCTGGAACATGCAACATATCATTGTCCTTCTTTAGGGGGTCCCTTTCAAATCTATGATATTATATCTGTGTATGTGTGAATCATATCTATATATCTATGTCTCTAGCTGGCTGGCTCTTTGTCAGGAGGGCTTTGATTAGATTTTCTTGCCCTGGTGAAGAGAGTTGGACTGGGTGGCCTTAAATATTTTCTGTTGTCATGGGGGTTCTGTGTGGGAAATTTGCCCCAATTCTGTCATTTGTAGGGTTCAGAATGCTCTTTGATTGTAGGTAAACTATAAATCCCAGTAACTACAACTCCCAAATGTCAAGGTCTATTTCTCCCAAATTCCATCTGTGTTCATATTTGAGGATATGGAATATTTGTGCCAAGTTTGGTTCATATCCATCATTGTTTGAATCCACAGTGCTCTCTGGATGTAAGTGAACTACAACTCCCAAACTCAAAGCCAATGCCCACCAAACCCTTCTAGTCTTTTCTATAGGTCATAGGAGTCCTGTGTGTCACCTTTGGTTCAATTCCATCATTGGTGGAGTTCAGAATGCTCTTTGATTGTAGGTGAAATATAAATCCCAAGAACTACAACTCCCAAATGACAAAATCAAAAGATTTTGAGTAAAGGACATACATTGTCCAAAATTAGTATACATGGTTTCAAGTAATACCCAGAGGCGGCCCTAGGTAATTTTCAATGGTAAGCAAACAGTATTTTGGTGCCCCCCACCCCCAACCAATCACTGATATATATTTTCTGTTCATCATGGGAGTTCTGTGTGCCATATTTGGTTCAATTCCATCATTGGTGGAATGCTCTTTGATTGTAGGTGAACTATACACCCCAGTAACTACAACTCGCATATGTCAAGGTCTATTTCCCCCTAAGAGCGCCTCAAGAGCACCCCTGGGCAAAATCAACTATACTGCAAATGCTTACTTTGCGTAATGGGTTGAGCCACCCCGGGTAATACCCCTATCTGAGGTTAGTTTATTTTGTAAACCTTGTTGCCACTGCGAGGAATTTTGCCACTATGAGAGTCACCCTGTGGCACTTGTCCTCTAAAAGATATCTAACAATCTTCTGTGGGGGATGGCTGGTCATGCAGGACAAAATTGGATATAAAAGTCGTTTCTAGAAATGTTGGATTGCACTGGGCCCAGGCAAGAACCCGGTGGCACCCTATCCGTCCCTTTTCTCCAGGATAAATAAGAGAAAAAATATATGCAGATGACACCACTTTGATGGCCAAAAGCCTTCTAATCAAGGTGAAAGAAGAAAGTGCAAAAGCTGGGTTGCAGCTAAACATTAAAAAAACCCAGGATTATGGCAACAAGAATGATTGATAACTGGAAAATGGAGAAAACGTGGAGGCCGTGACAAACTAGGTGCAAAGATTACTGGAGATGCAGACTGCAGCCAGGAAATCAGAAGATGTTTCCTTCTTGAGAGGAGAGCAAAGACCAATCTTGAGAAAAGAGAAGAGACATCACACTGGCAACGAAGATCCGCATAGTTAAAGCCATGGTATTCCCCATAGTCACCTACGGATGTGAGAGCTGGACCATAGGGAAGGCTGAGCGAAGGAAGAGAGGTGCTTTTGAGCTGTGGTGTTGGAGGAAAGTGCTGAGAGTGCCTTGGACTGCGAGAAGATTCAACCAATCCATACTTCAAGAAATAAAGCTCAACTGCTCATTGGAGGGAAGGATAGTAGAGGCCAAGATGAAGTACTTTGGCCACATCATGAGAAGAAAGGAAAGCTTAGAGAAGACAATGATGCTGGGGGAAATGGAAGGAAAAAGGAGGCGGGGCTGACCAAGGGCAAGATGGATGGATGGCATCCTTGAAGTGACTGGCTTGACCTTGAAGGAGCTGGGGGTGGTGACGACCGACAGAGAGCTCTGGCGTGGGCTGGTCCATGAGGTCACGAAGAGTCAGAAACGACTGAACGAATAAACAACAACAACAAAGAAGAGCCATTGATGAGCACCTTTTGGGTTTAGTCAATCATCCAATTACAAGATGAATGCAGGATTCAATATATAGAAATGTATTCTAAGAAACAAACATAAGAGAAATATAATTAAGGGCAAGTGTTGGGGTGAGATTATCTTGGTATGGTTTCCAGTGCCGGAGTTAAATAATCAAAACTAGGACTAAAAACATGCATTGTTTCCAAGCAAGGAAATTCAGCCATCACCCGACCTTGCCTTCGCAGAACTGCCTGAATGTTTAGTCTCCAAAGTACTGTTAACCTGTTTGAGTGTTTAAATTGCTGTTATTCCTAGAAACTTTTTTGAATGAATACTAATGAGAAAAACTCAGGGATTAGTGTGTCATAGAACACAGTTTAACGAGTGCTCTGCTGCCAAGAAAGACCTCGTGAATTTCATAGGGTCTTCTTATGTCCACTCATAAATACCTGGAAGTTCAGAAAAGTTGGGTTTCAAACTAGTAGGGCTTTGTAGACTATTACTAACACCTTGAGTTGGGTTTGGCAACTCACTTTAGCTTCTTCCATTCTGTAACCTGGAGAAAACATCTAATTTTTCCACTTTGCGTCCATCAAGCTCAGCGGTTCTCAATCTGGTGGTCAGGCCCCCAGGAGGGTGTGTGTGAAGGGGGTGTCAGAGGGGTCGCCAAAGACCATCAGAAAGCACAGTATTTTCTATTGGTCATGGGATTTCTGTGTGGGAAGTTTGGCCCCATTCTATTGTTGGGGGGGGGGGGAGTTCAGAATGCTCTTTGATTGTAGATGAACTATAAGTTCCAGCAACTACAACTCCCAAATGTCAAGGTCTATTTTCCCTGAATGCCACCAGTATTTACATTTGGGCATATTGAGTACATGTGCCAAGTTTGGTCCAGATCCATTATTATTATTATTATTATTATTATTATTATTATTATTATCTTTATTTGTACCCCGCTAGCATCTCCCGAAGGACTCGATGCGGCTTACAAAGACCAAGGCCTCAAAACACAACATAACAATACAATACAAACCTAAAGCAAATTAAAAACAATTAAAGCAATATTAAACAACAAGCAATAAACATCAAGACACTATAAAACTGGGCCAGGCCAGAGTATGGGTACAGGATTAAAAGTGCTGATGTGACAGGTGATATGTAAGGATTAGAGGGTAAGTGCAGTGTGCGGCAATCTTAGTTCTAATAAAGTGCTTCTGGGACTTGTTATTGAAGGTTCCTATTCTGGAAAGGCACATCGGAACAGCCAGGTCTTCAAGTTCTTTCTAAAGACTGCCAATGTAGGGGCCTGTCTAAGATCTTTTGGGAGAGTGTTCCACAGTGAGTCCACAGTGCTATCTGGATGTAGGTGAACTACAACTTCCAAACTCAAAGTCAATGCCCACTAAACCCTTCCAGTATTTTCTGTTGGTTATGGGAGTTCTGTGTGCCAAGTTTGGTTCAATTCCATCGTTCAGAGTTCAGAATGCTCTTTGATTGTAGGTGAACTATAAATCCCAGCAACTACAACTCCCAAATGAGAAAATTTGGGAGACCCTCTCACACTGGAAATTGCAATAAAAAGAACCAATGCTTTAAAGTTATTGAAAAGTTATTCATGACAAACCAAGCCAGTTCGAATGTGCCAAACTGAGTTAATTCGACTCTGTAAATGCACCCCTGGAGAGCCCTGATTCCACTGCTTCTTAGAATCATAGAATCAAAGAGTTGGAAGAGACCTCCTGGGCCATCCAGTCCAACCCGCTTCTGCCAAGAAGCAGGAATATTGCATTCAAATCACCCCTGACAGATGGCCATCCAGCCTCTGTTTAAAAGCTTCCAAAGAAGGAGCCTCCACCACACTCCGGGGCAGAGAGTTCCACTGCTGAACGGCTCTCACAGTCAGGAAGTTCTTCCTCATGTTCAGATGGAATCTCCTCTCTTGTAGTTTGAAGCCATTGTTCCGCGTCCTAGTCTCCAGGGAAGCAGAAAACAAGCTTGCTCTTGGCAGAGGGTTGGACTGGATGGCCCATGAGGTCTCTTCCAACTCTTTGATTCTATGATTCTATGATACCCAGAAGGATACCAGAAGGACAACTAGAGACATCTAGGTAGATCTTGGGGGGGGGGGGGGGGGGTTAGTCTAGATAACAGCTCCCAGAATCATCCAACCAGCAAGGGAATTATAAGTGTTACAATCCAGAAAAGGAAAAACTCTTAAACTCTATTATCTTTTATGCCAAGGATCTTTAGGAATGGCTGCAAGGAAATGAGTTCTAACCCCAGGGACCTCCGTCATTCCTTTTCTGGTGGAGTTGACCAAGGAGAGCCTTGCACCTGCTTTTAAAGGCGGATGTTATTGTTGGCTCACGGATCAAGAGCGAAGTGGGGAAGCAAGGAAACCACAGAAGTTGGGCCGGATTTGGCTTCACTGAACCACCCCGAGCAAGTGAAGGCTCTGATCTCACCCACTCCCACTTTGACACCCATACAATGCAATCTGACAACACAGAAACTGGGCATTGAGTCAAGGAATTGTGGAACGGCAGCATGTTAAGAAAATGAGCAGCAAATGTAAGATTTTTCTGCAAGCGAAGAAGAGAAAAGGAAGGGGTGTGTGGGGAATGGGGCTTTTTATAAAATGGAAAATCATCACAATCATCAATTGAAATTGAATCCAGACAAGACAGAGGTCCTCCTGGTCAGTCGAAAGGCTGAACAGGGCATAGGGTTACAGCTTGAGTTGGACGGGGTTACACTCCCCCTGAAGACGCAGGTTCGCAGCTTGGGAGTGATCCTGGACTCATCGCTGAGCCTGGGACCCCAGGTTTCGGCGGTGGCCAGGGGAGCTTTTGCACAGTTAAAACTCATACACCAACTGCGCCCATACCTTGGGAAGTCTGACCTGGCCACAGTGGTCCACGCTCTGGTTACATCCCAAATAGATTACTGCAGTGTTTCTCAACCTGGTGGTCGGGACCCCTGAGGGGGTCGCGAGGAGGTGTTAGAGGGGTCGCCAAAGACTATCTGAAAACAGTATTCCTTGATTCTGTTGGTCATGGGGGTTCTGTGTGGGAAGTTTGGTCCAATTCTATCGTTGGTGGGGTTCAGAATGCGCTCTGGTTGTAGGTGAACTATAAATCCCAGCAACTACAACTCCCAAATGTTAAGATCTATTTTCCCCAAACTCCACCAGTGTTCCCATTTGGGCATATGGAGGATTCATGCCAAGTTATGTCCAGATCCATCATTGTTTGAGTCCACAGTGCTCTCTAGTTGTGGGTGAACTACAACTCCCAAACTCAAGGTCAATGCCCACCAAACCCTTCCAGTATTTTCTGTTGGTCATGGGAGTTCTGTGTGCCATGTTTAGTTCAATTCCATCGTTGGTGGAGTTCAGAATGCTCTTTGATTGTAGGTGAACGATAAATCCCAGCAACTACAACTCCCAAATGACAAAATCAATCCCACCAAACCCACCAGTATTAAAATTTGGGTGTATTGGATATTTGTGTCAAATTTGGCCCAGTGAATGAAAATACATCCTGCATATCAGATATTTACAAAATTGCTGTAATGAAGTAGCAATGGAAATAACTTTATGCTTGGGGGTCACCACACCATAAGGATCTGTGTTAAGGGGTCACGGCATTCAGAAGGTTGAGAAACACTGGATTACTGCAACGCGCTCTACATGGGGCTGCCTTTGAAGACGGTTCGGAAACTTCAGCTAGTTCAACGGGAGGCAGCCAGATTACTAACTGGGGCAGCATACAGGGAGCATACCCCCCCCCCCCCCCCCCCCCCCCCCCCCCCCGCTATGCCAGCTCCACTGGCTGCCAGTCCATCTCCGAGCTCAATTCAAAGTGCTGGTCTTGACCTATAAAGCTCTATACGGTTCTGGCCCAGCTTACTTGTCCGAACGCATCCGCTCCTACGTCCCACCTCGTAATCTAAGATCATCCGGGGCTGCCCTGCTCTCGCTCCCGTCAACAGCACAGATGTGCCTGGTGGGGACGAGAGACAGGGCCTTATCGGTGGTGGCCCCCTGCCTATGGAACACACTCCCAAATGAGGTAAGATCTGCTCCCTCCCTCCTGGTTTTTAGAAAAAAAAAATCATAGTTTTGGCACCAGGCCTTCGGACAGTAGAAGAAAATGTATGCAGCACTTCAGGAAGACAATGACTGGAATGGCAATTTGACGAACGAGACTGTTTTATTGTTTTAATGATTGTTTTATTGCTTATGGATATATGGTTTTAATTTGATTTATGTTTAATTGTAGTGTATGATTGTAATTGTTTGTACTGGCATTGATTTTTTGCCATTACTTATGTGTAAACCGCTTTGAGTCCCCCTCGGGGTGAGAGAAGCGGTATACAAATATTATAAATAAATAAACAACAGAATTATTTCCCTCCTTTTCTTTCCCAAATTGTTCTGGATTTTGGCTTTGTAAGCTTGCATTTCTCTTGCTCAGAATACAGCAAACAGATGGATCTTGCATGATTAGTCATGATTTTGACAATGTTACCACTATCATAATCCCATCCACTGTAACCTATTTTGCCCGGTATCTGCTGAATGGCAGAAGGAAGTCCATTCCACCTTTCTGCCAGGTTCGAGGGCATTAGCCCAGCCGGAGCTTTAGCAAAGCTGGTAAATCATCAGCAACTCTAAGATCTATCAACTGAAAGGTTGAAAGTTCGAAGCCCTGGGTCGGCGTGAGCAGCTGACCATCAGCCCTGCTCACTGTTGACCTAAGCAGTTTGAAAACAGCTTTACCTGTAATTAAAGAAATTAGGTACTGCTAAAAGCGGGGGAAGTGTTTTACAATGCAATAAAGAAAAAGAAGATCAGAAAATGCTGGAATAAGGAAGTCCTGATGGCTCTTCGTCATAGAGGATGGAGCGACAGTATCCCCTGTGCACTCAAGCCCAACCATCCATGGCTTCAAAACAACACACCTCTTTCTGTTCTGTCTGTCTGTGTACTGTCTATACAAATGGCATTGAATGTTTGCCCTGCATGTGTATTGTGATCCGCCCTGAGTCCCCTTTAGGGTGAGAAGGGCAGAGTATAAATAAAGTGTTGTTGTTATTATTATTATTATTATTATTATTATTATTATTATTATTAACTATACTTGAGTATATTTAACTAAGTAGCTGATATAAAGAGCACCCAGTGGTAAGCGGGTTAAACCACTGAGCTGCTAAACTTGCTGACTGAAAGGTCGGTGGTTCAAATCTGGAGAGTGGGGTGAGCTCCTGCTGTTAGCCCCAGCTTCTGCAAACCTTGAACCTAGCAGTTTGAAAACATGCAAATGTGAGTAGATCAATAGGTATCGCTTTAGCGAGAAGGTAATGGCGCTCCTTGCAGTCATGCCGGTCACATGACCTTGGAGGTGTCTACGGACAACGCTGGCTCTTTGGCTTAGAAATGGAGATGAACACCACCCCTCAGAGTCAGACTCGACTAGACTTAATGTCAAGGGGACACCTTCAGCCCAGTAAAAGTTAGTTAACTATACTTAAATATATTTAACTAAGTAGCTGATATAAGGAGCAGCGGGTTAAACCGCTGAGCTGCTAAACTTGCTGACAGAAAGGTTTGTGGTTCAAATCCAGGGAGTGGGTAGAGCTCCTGCTGTTAGCCCCAGCTTCTGCCAACCTTGAACCTAGCAGTTCAAAAACATGCAAATGTGAGTAGATCAATAGGTGCCGCTTTAGTGGGAAGGTAATGGCGCTCCATGCAGTCATGCCAGTCACATGACCTTGGAGGTGTCTACGGACAACGCTGGCTCTTCGGCTTAGAAACGGAGATGAGCACCACCTCTCAGAGTCAGACTTGACTAGACTTAATGTCAAGGGGAAGCCTTTACCTTTAAGGCACTGCTATATATTCAATGGAGATAGATAGACAGACAGACAGATAGATGATATGTCAATGCTAAACTAGCCACAATCTCCACTCCGACTTCTCTACTTACTTCACAATGATGTTACGTCCCACTCGTTGATAGTACAGAGCATTGTCATAGACAGCATGGCCGCATCCATAGTACGACCATGGGAGCTCAGTGATGTTGTAGCTGTTGTTCCTCAATGCATCCAGGTCTTGGTATTCTTTTATGATATGGCCTGTTCAGAAAGCAAGAGAAATAGTTAGAATGGTCCAGACTTTTTTGGCTCATCCAGCTAAACCTTCCTTAAAGCAGTTGGAACACTGTGAGTTCTGAAAGGTCCTGGCCATTAAAGTTCAATCTTGAGCCCTTCACAGAACAAGTCAAACATGAGAACATGAATCCTGTTGGTTACTCCTAACTGGAAAAGACAATTCAATACATTGTTGACTTGTGAGTCAATGTGTCATTCAATCCCATTCTTACAATAGGTCCACATCCAAGGATGGGTAAACCAGTCTCCGTCGATTCCATGCCACCTTCCCAATTACCAGTCCATGCCCACCACACAGTTCCAGATGACGATCCTGCTTAACCCTAGTCCTGCATTTCAGTCTTGATAATAATAATAATCATCATCATCATCATCATCATCATCAACATGGCTGTGGCTCACAAATAGAACGCTGAAAAAGGAGATGGGGGGCCTGATTCTGGCAGCCCAAGAACAAACCATTCGAACCAATGCCATCACAGCTCTGCAAGGAAGCAGATGAAACAATAGATCCCATTCTCAGCTGCTGCAAGATCACGCAGACAGACTACAAGCAGAGGCACAACACCGTTGCTCAGATGATTCATTGGAACTTCTGCCACAAACACCATCTATCTGCCTGTGACAAAGAACTGGTGGGATCACAAGCCAGAAAAAGTTACAGAGAATGAACATGCCAAACTACTCTGGGACTTCCGGATTCAGACAGACAGAGTTTTGGAGCATAATACTCCTGACCTCACAATCGTGCTAAAAAACAAAGTATGGATCGTTGATGTTGCAATCCCAAGTGACAGCAGGATTGAAGAGAAACCACTGGAAAAGCTGACACGATATGAGGATTTAAAGATCAAACTGCAAAGACTCTGGAACAAGCCAGTCAAGGTAGTCCCAGTGGTGATAGGCACACTGGGTGCAGTGCCTAAAGACCTTGGCCTGCACTTAAACACAATCGGCGCTGACAAGATTACCATTTGCCAGCTGCAGAAGGCCACCTTACTGGGATCTGCATGCATTATTCGCCGATACATCACACAGTCCTAGACACTTGGGAAGTGTCCAGCGTGTGATCCAATACAACATAGTGATCTTATTTTCTGTGTACTAATCTTGTTGTGTTTCAAATTATTATTATTATTATTATTATTATTATTATTATTATTATTATATAAACCAACTCACAGCAGTGATAAAATACATGGGTTAGCCTAAATGTCCTAATCCTGGGGGCCGTTTTTAACCCCAGTCTCATATTTATCACCTTGTGTGACTGTGGAGCAGAACAGACAACCTCAATCATAACAGGGGCAATGGGCCACTATTGTACCCCAGGTCATTCTGGGAGTTGCCTGAACTACCAAAAGTGCCCAAAGGAGCCAGGAGTTCACTTTTGGTGCTGAAAAATACAGTCACATTCTTTTAGTGGCTTTGCAGGATCAACTCACATTTTTTGGCTGTTTTGATGTTTGAGATTCCATACCAACTTTGCAACCGTCTACCTTCCCCCCTCCCCCCCCAAAAAACCCTCCTTCTAGCTTAGTGGTTCCCAACCTATTTTTGACCAGGGGCCAGTTGACCAGGGACCACTTTGGGTAGGGGCCATTTGACCAGGGACCACTTTGAACAGGGACCACTTTGAACAGGGACCACTTTGAACAGGGACCACTTTGACTGGGGGCCACTTGACCAGGGGCCATTTTGACTAGGGGCCACTTGGACCAGGGACCACTTTCACCAGAAACCACTTTGACCACGGACCACTTTGACCAGGGGCCACTTTACCAGGGGCCATTTTGACCAGGGACCAATTTCACCAGGGGCCATTTGACCAGGGATCACTTTCACCAGGGGCCATTTGACCAGGGGCCACTAGACCAGGGACCACTTTCACCAGAAACCACTTTGACCAGGAACCACTTTGACCATGGACCACTTTGACCATGGACCACTTTGACCAGGGACCACTTTGACCACGGACCACTTTGAACACGGACCACTTTGACCAGGGACCACTTTGACTAGGGGCCACTTTGACAGGGACCACTCTCCAACATTAGTGCCAAAGGGTTACGAATCTGTTTTTGGTCAACTTTAGATTTGGTTTGGTTATGTGGGGTGCTGATTCAAAAAATTGCATTGGATGGACCACATCAACTCAAGTTTCTGATACAGAACATATACCATCCTGGAGTCACCATCTGCTCATCCACAGAAAACCATATTTCATAACCCTTGACACTATAAGAGGATATATGAGGATATATGAGAGAATATATAAGAGGATATATAAGAGGATATATGAGACAAGTTGCTCTAGTTGCAACGGTGTAGTAATGGTGAGGCCACAGACCATGTTTTAGTTCTTGCGGACCACTGGTGGTCCATGGACCACAGGCTAGGAACCATTGGTCTAGCTGCTAAATTATGGTCAAGATCAGACAATTTGTTTTGTAGCTGTGTGCGGTCTATGGGGCTACAAAACCTACCTGTAAAATGCTCAGCAATCCAAATTGTTTCATCACTTCTGTTGGCAAGATCCATCATCCACGCTCCATAGCTTTGCTTCAACTGTATAATCTCATTTGGGCTCCCAATGGATTTGATGATGCACTCTGGCAAGGAGAAACAAAGTCAACGCAACCAAGCCATTCCCCGAAATACACAAGCAATCAGTTAGAACAATCTCAAAACGGATTACCTGGCTTTCTGTGCTGGTAAAGGTGTGCCTTTTCTTTGGGTTTCCCCATCAGAGTGTCATCGTTTGGGATAGCACATGTCTCCCCTGAAAGAAGAGAGAGGAAGAGGAGATATTGAAAGGCAATCTTATTTTTGTATTGCTGAAGGCTTTCGTGGCTGGAATCACTGGGTTGTTGTAGGTTTTTCGGCTATATGGCCATGTTCTAGAAGCATTCTCTTCTGACATTTCGCCTGCATCTATGGCAAGCATCCACAGTTGTGTGTGTCAGAAATGCTTACAAGGGCAAAGATGATCAAAGTTACATTAAAAAATATTGGGTTGTTGTAGGTTTTTCGGGCTATATGGCCATGTTCTAGAAGCATTCTCTCCTCTGTTTTGCCTGCAACTATGGCAAGCATCTATGGCAAGCATACTCATCACCTCTGAGGATGCTTGCCATAGATGCAGGCAAAACATCAGGAGAGAATGCTTCTAGAACATGGCCATGTAGCTCGAAAAACCTACAACAACCCAATCTTTTTTTTTAATGTAACTTTGATAATCTTTGCCCTTGTAAGCATTTCTGACACACACAACTGTTTGAAATATTTTCACTCTTCCTAGTTTCTGGCACACAGAGTCTGTATGTCCTTTTCATTCCTGCATAGACAGACATGTCCTCTGCATACCTGAATTCTGCATTGCTTTTTGGTGATCCATTCTTTCCAGCTCCCCCCACCACACCCCATGGTCCAATCTGGAGTTGGCACCTTTTTCACCCTCAGCACACAAAGCAAGTTTCCATAAGGAGGAAGATCGGGCAAAGCCCACTTTTTGAGTTATGTTACTTGGAAATTACAGGACTGTCATATTTTATGTGTGTTATACATATGGGGGGGGGGGGGGGAGCCCGCAGTGGCGCAGTGGGTTAAACTGCTGATCTGATTCAACTTGCTGACTGAAAGATCAAAGAGCATTCTGAACTCCACCAATGATGGAATTGAACCAAACTAGGCACACGGGACTCCCATGCCTGATAGAAAACACTACAAGGTTTTGGTGGGCATTAACCTTGAGTTTTGGAGTTGTAGTTCACCTACATCCAAAGAGCACTGTAACTCCAACAATGATAGATCTGGACCAAACTTGGCACGAATCCTCAATATGCCCAAATATGGACACAGATGGAGTTTGGGGGAAATAGACCTTGACATTTGGGAGTTGTAGTTACTGGGATTTATAGTTCACCTACAATCAAGGAGCATCCTGAATCCCACCAACGACAGAATTGGGGCAAACTTCCCACACAGAACCCCCACGACCAACAGAAAATACTTAAGGCCATCCAGTCCAGCTCCCTTCACCAGGGCAAGAAAACGTAATCAAAGCCCTCCTGACAAAGAGCCATCCAGCCATAGATATAGATAGATAGATGTGATTCACACAAACAGAGAGATATAGTATCATAGATTTGAAAGGGGCCCCTAAAGAAGGACAATTATATGTTGCATGTTCCAGGGTGGGCAAACCAGACAATCTCCACATCAACACTGACAAAGAAACAACAAGAAATACTGTTTACCCACAAGCATCAAGAAATTACATATATTACAAACCAACACTTTCTCATTACTTTATTTTCCAGATCACCAGACTGGGCCACAGCAACACCTGGCAGGGGATAGCTTGTAAATAAATAAATTAACTACTTAACTGAGTAGTTGATCCTAGAATCTTAGGCAATGTTTCTAGTCTCAATCCCTCTCACAAACCCTCACACACAGATGCACACATTTTCTGTAGTTCACATTCTGGGAGTGCCAGTAGCACCCTTAGATGGCATTTTATCTCTGTGTGGAGCAGTCAAGGACCACACTGGCATTTCCAGTATAGGCAGGACCAGGCTGTGTGTTTAGGAATAACTTTTAACAGAAAGGAACAAAAAGTCTAAGGCCAATGATGTTTTCTGCCGGCATATACTCAAGGCCTGGAGATCACTGTGAGATTGCCATCTGTCTGAAAATCATAAGTATGTGCAGCACTGAGATAAGGTTTACTATTTCAGGGTGAAGGGGCAGATTCATTTTCATAGCAATGCAATAGGTGTTGTTAAATAGGTGTCAGCCAAAACAGCTTCCTTCATTACCTCCAGCTATATGGGGTAAATCCCTACACCAGCATTTCTCAGCCTGGGAGTTAGGATCCTTATAGGGGTCATGAGGGGGTGTCAGAGAAGTTGCCAAAGACCATCAGAAAACACAGTATTTTCTGTTGGTCATGGGGGATCTGTGTGGGAAGTTTGGCCCAATTCTATTATTGGTGGGGTTCAGAATGCACTTTGCTTGTAGGTGAACTATAAATCCCTGCAACTACAATGCCCAAATGTCAAGTCTCTTTTCCCCAAACTCCATCGGTGTTCACATTTGGGCTGATTGAGTATCCGTGCCAAGTTTGGTCCAGATTCATCATTCTTTGAGACCACAGTGCTCTCTGGATGTAGGTGAACTACAACTCCAAAATTCAAGGTCAATGCCCACCAAACCCTTCCAATACTTTCTGTTGGTAATAAGAGTTCTGTGTGCCAAGTTTAGTTCAATTCCATCGTTGGTGGAGCTCAGAATGCTCTGTGATTGTAGGTGAACTATAAATCCCTGCAACTACAATGCCCAAATGTCAAGTCTCTTTTCTTCAAACTCCGTCAGTGTTCACATTAAGGAATATTGAGCATTCATGCCAAGTTTGGTCCAGATCCATCATTGTTTGACTCCACAGTGCTCTCTGGATTTAAGTGAACTACAACTCCAAAAGTCAAGGTCAATACCCACCAAACCCTTTCAGTATTTTTGGTTGGTCATAGGAGTTCTGTGTGCGAAGTTTGGTTCACTTCCATCACTGGTTAACTTCAGAATGCCCTTTGATTGTAGGTGAACTATAAATCCCAGCAACTACAACCACCACATGACAAAATCAATCCTCCCATTCAATCCCACCGGTATTCAAATTAGGGTGTATTGGGTATTTGTGCCAAATTTGGTCCAGTGAATGAAAATCCATCCTGCATATCAGATATTTACATTACGATTCATAACAGAGCAAAATTGCAGTTGTGAAGTAGCAACAAAAACTATGTTATGGTTGGGGGTCACCACAACATGAGAATCTATATTTAGGGGTCGTGGCATTAGGAGGTTGAGAACCACCTGTGCAGTACAAGTTGAGTGCTGGACTAGGGACACAAAAGGAACTATAATACCCTCTTTGCATTGAGCTCCACTTATTATTTGTAAGTTTTGTGGATCAAAGCTACATTATAATAAATGGGAAGTTGACATGTGCTGAACTCGATGGGAGGAAAACAAAAACTTTAAAATGATCACAACACTATACAGAGTGAAGCAGGCTGATTCTAAGATCATATCAAACATCTTACAGATGTTAAATAATGGAAAAAAGTAAGGTGCAGACTGGTTTTGGTTAACAGCAGATACATAACAAGGGACAATGAATGGGTTGCACTACAGGTTTTATTCTGAACTATGGATGAGCTCTCCAAGGTGCTGAATCCTGTCTTCAAAATTAGATCCAGCCCTTTGGACACCTCTTACATTTCAGATTAGGCTTTCCAATAATAGCTTTGAAGTGATGCAATTGTTCCCTCTGTGAGGAGGACTATCCCCAGAAAGGATTCCCTGCTTCGTTTCTGAACATGGGAACCATCTATCACAGAACCACTGGTCTTGTTAGGATTTCACTTCAGACTTTTGGCCTTTACCCAGCTCACCACTGGATGTAGCCATGGTTAGTATCTTTTTAAAGCAGTGGTTCCCAAGGAGCCCCCAGTGGCCTAATGGGTTAAACCCTTGTGCTGAAAGGACTGCTCACCAAGAGGTTGGCGGTTTGAATCCGGAGAGCTGGGTGAGTTCCTGTCTGTCAGCTCCAGCTTCTCATGTGGTGACATGAGAGAAGCCTCCCATAGGATGGTAAAACTTCCAGGCATCCCCTGGGAAACGTCCTTGCAGATGGCCAATTCTCTCACACCAGAAACGACTTGCAGTTTCTCAAATCACTCCTGACACAGAAAAAAGTGGTTCCCAACCTTTTTTGACCAGGGACCATTTTGACCAGGGACCACTTGACCAGGGACCACTTGAACAGGGACCACTTTGATCAGGGACGACTTTGATCAGGGACCAATTTTACCAGGGACCACTTTACCAGGAACCACTTTAACCAGGGATCACTTGACAAGGGACCAATTTTACCAGGGATCACTTGACCAGTGACCACTTTAACAAGGGACCACTTTGTCCAGGGACCACTTGACCAGGGACCACTTTGACCAGGGGACACTTGACCAGGGACCATTTGACCATGGATCATTTGACCAGGGACCACTTTGACCAGGAACCACTTGACAAGGGACAACTTGACCAGGGACCACTTTGACCAGGGATCACTTGTCCAGGGACCAATTTTACCAGGCATCACTTGACCAGGAGCCACTTTGACCAGGGGACACTTGACCAGGGACCAATTTTACCAAGGACTACTTGACCAGGAACCACTTGATCATCACCACTTTGACCAGGGGCCACTTGACTACAGACCACTCTCCAACATTAGTACCAAAAAGGATTGTGAATCAGTTTTGGTTAACTTTAGATTCAGTTTGATTATTTGTGGTGCTGATTCAGAAAATTGCATTGGTAGACCACACCAGCTCTAGATTCTGACCCAGTAGTCACCATCTGCTCACCCACAGAAAATCATATTTACTAATCTAGAGCTGATGTGGTCTATCCAATGCAATTTTCTGAATCAGCTCCCCAAATAACTCCAAGAACAGGCCTAAAAGACACCAAGGCGCCCCTGCTTCCAGGTGCCACATGGAACAGCTCCACTCAAGGAGGGAGAAGAAGGAGAGGCAGGAGTCAGGAGACTTGTTGTCATGCCTTTTGTGGGTAGTCAGCCTCTCCCCTCTCAGCACCCTCATTGCCTCAGCACTGCAAGGTGGTTTTGCAAGACCAGTCACTCTTGTTGCAACGGTGTAGTAACGGTGAGGCTGTGGACCACATTTTTGTTCTTGGGGTCCGCTAGTGGTCCATGGACCATAGGTTGGGAACTGTTCCAGGCCGAGTACAAGGCAGGACTCTTTCTGGTCCTACATAGTGATGCTAGGGAGTGAACTTGGGACCCTCCACTGGATGATAAGAAATAAGATGGATGTAGATACCAGCATGCATTTGAGCCTCCCACACAAGCCAAGGCTTACCTTGCAAACGGCTGCTCATATCCATTTCCCCAATTATCTCCTTTTCTTCTCCTCAGATAAGACAGAAGCTAGACACAGCAGGGGATGGAACCAGTGGGGCGCCAGTTCTGCATGCGAGCTAATCAAGCAGCCCCCAAAATAGTACAAAGAGGAGAGGGCAGGAGCAATGTTCTCCTCCAACATCCTTGAAGAGGCACGTTCTGTTCCGAGGACTGGAAGAGGGCCATGTTCCCACTTCACAGGCTCATTACTGGAGAAGGGGGTCTGTCTTCCACTGAAAGGTGACATGCTTCACAAATAGCATGGCAGAACTGTGTGCTTTTCTTGATGAGCCTGGACTCAAGACCAGAGATGGAAAAGCAATCCACTGATGAAGGAAAAGAACTGACCAGAGGGTTGAATGTATGTGTGATGATATGAAATGGCCCGTGTGATAAAAAATGGTCTGAAGGTGAAATGAGGCTATCATACCAACTCAGCTGAGACATTGCCATCTTCATGGTGTATTGTGGAGGGGCCCTTGGAAAAATGATATCGAGTTGCTTCCATATGTATCCCTTATTTCATTAATTCAAACTTATGTTATGGGAAGACACATTCCAGTTCATCAGAAGAAGAATACTGGTTCTGTAATCCCAGGAGGTGTTCCCCAAAAACTTAACAGTCTCAAAAACAGAAGTCAGGAAGGCCATCTAACCTACCTTCTTCCTCTATACATGAAATCTCAATCTAGGGGATCCCCCAAAGGATAGCTGTTCAATCCCTTCTTGAAGGCCACCTGCAAGAGCCTATCACCATTCTGCTGAACTTCCAATGGAATCTACTTTCCAGGAACTCAAATTCATGGATCTAATCTTAGTCTTTGAAGAAACCCAAGGAGATACACAACAAAACTTTCCAGTTTCTTGTAGGACCATCACATAGAAGAGGGAGTAAGCTTCTTGAAGGCCACCTGCAAGAGCCTATCACCACCATTCTGCTAAACTTCTGATAGCATCTACTTTCCAGGAACTCAAATTCATGGATCTAATCTTAGTTTTAGAGGAAGCCCAAGAGATACACAACAAATCTTTCCAGTTTCTTGAAGGATCATGACATAGAAGAGGGCATAATCTTGTTCCCTACCACCATAGAGGGCATGGCACAATGTAAGAAGCTTGAATTCCAGTGTTGACTCTTTTAATAGTAAAGATGGAAGATGAGTTGACTCTGAACTAAGCAGGCAGTATTAAAATTAACAATCTCAAACAAAGAGGTCTGGAAGGCCATCTAGCTTACCTTCTTCCTCTATACATGAAATCTCAATCTTGGGCATCCCCTAAAGGATAGCTGTTCAGTCCCTTCTTGTAGGCCACCTGCAAGAGCCTATCACCACCATTCTACTAAACTTCTGATAGCATCTACTTTCCAGGAACTCAAATTCATTGATCGAATCTTAGTCTTAGAGGAAGCCCAAGAGATACACAACAAAACTTTCCAGTTTCCTGTAGGGCCATGACATAGAAGATGGCATAAGCTTGTTCCCTACTATCATAGAGGGCATGACCCAATGTAAGAAGTTTGAATTTCAGTGTTGACTCTTAACAGTAAAGATGAAAAATTAGTTGACTCTGAACTAGGCAGACAGTATTCAAATCAACCATCTTAAACATAGAGGTATGGAAAGCCATCTAGTCTACCTTCTTCCTCTATACATGAAATCTCAACCTAGAGCATCCCCCAATGGATAGCTGCTCAGTCCCTTCTTGAAGGCCATCTGCAAGAGTCTATCATCACCATTCTGTTGAACTTCTAATGGAATCTACTTTCCAGGAACTCAACTTCATGGATCTAATCTTAGTCTTTGAGGAAGCCCAAGAGATACACAACAAAACTTTCCAGTTTCCTGTAGGACCATGACATAGAAGATGGCATAAGCTTGTTCCCAACCATCACAGAGGTCATGAACCAATGTAAGAAGTGTTGGCTCTTAATAGTAAAGATGGAAATTTGGTTAACTCTGAACTAGGCAGGTAGTAAGTTCAACTCCATGGTTCTCTGAAGAATAGTTTTTCTCATCACGCAAGATCTTAGTCCAACTCACCCAAAACAGGATCAAAGGCTACACTGAAGAACATCTTTAGATTTATTTATTTTTACTGGGACACTTGATGAAAGAGTTACATATGTCAAGGCATGCTCCAACTCAAGACCACCAATTGAGTTTTTCATTTAAGCACAGCCTTGGCACCTCCTGCAAATCTTTGCTTCTTTCCGACATAAGTCAACATTATCTCCCCTTCCTCCCTATGCTCCTATCTCTTTGTGTATGTTTACATGGCTGGGCCTAATCTCCACAACCGTGCTCCACCAACTGCTTTGATTCCACATTCAAGGAGTAAACCAGAGTGAGACGGAAAGGTGAGATGAAAGGAAAGACTTTCATTTTGTGCCATTGACCCTTTGCAAGACCCTGAAGAAGAAAAGGCTGAGAAGGCAAGGATGAGAATGCTCTTCAAAGACCCAAGGGCAGGCGAGCAGGAAAGAATTACAGGAAGGTAGATTTTGGCTCTCATGTTAGCAGCCGCCAAGGTAGAGAATTACACAAAAGCAGAGAAGACTGTGAAAAGTATGGTATTTAAATACACTATGACCCTGTTAACCATGGATTTGATAGTTGTGGTATCATTTACTCATGTTCAAAAACAATATCCCTACTCCACCCCCAGAAATGTTTCTTGGCCCTTCTAGATCCAGTAGTGTGGCCCTATGGTAAGCAACTGCACATGTGGATAGTTTTGGCTTTTGGAGTATTTTGGATTTCTGGAGTTGCTCAGCCTACAGTATCAATGCTTACAGCAACCCCATAAGAAAGTGCTTCTCAACCTGGGGGTCGGGACCCCTGGGGGGGGGGGGGGTTGCAAGGAGGTGTCAGAGGGGTCACCAAAGACCATCAGAAAGCACAGTATTGTCTGTTGTTCATGGGGGTTCTGTGTGGGAAGTTTGGCCCAATTCTATCATTGGTGGGGTTCAGAATGCTCTTTGATTGTAGGTGAACTACACATCTCTGCAACAACTCCCAAATTCCAAGGTCTATTTTCTTCAAACTCCACCAGTGTTCACTTTGGGCAAATTGAGTATTAGTGCCAAGTTTGGTCCAGATTCATCATTCAATCCACAGTGAGTCCACAGTGCTCTCTGGATGTAGGTGAACTACAACTCCAAAACTCAAGGTCCATGCCCACCAAACTCTTCCAGTAAAGTAAAAATTTAACAAATTTGATATAATTTACAATGACTAATGAAAAAAATTGCACGCCTCTAGTAGCCAGCCCTCTAGATGTTGCTAGACTCCACCTCCCATCAGTCCCACATATAATAGCCAGTGTTGAGGAATGGTGAGAACTGCACTACAGCAACACAGAGAAGACCACTCTCATATACACATACTACAATGTTGAGAAATACTTACCTTTGCACTCAGCACTGTACATCTTCTCTTCCACTTGGGGTTTTGCTTTGCGCTTTCCTGGGGGTCCTGGAGGTCCTGGGGGTCCCGGTGGGCCAGGGGGTCCTGGTTCCCCCTTGGGCCCTAAGATTGAAACAGAATGCAAGGCAAAAATGTTAAAATAATGATCTCTACAATCTTTGTCCCTATCATCAAAGTAATTTTTTTCATATGGATCCTACTCTTGCCAGGAAATACAGTAAGATAATTGCATCCGCAGGGGAGACATTTCCAGATAGAACCAAATGCCATTAAATTGTCGAACCTCTGGTCCCAGCATACAGTAAAATTGTGTTAAAGAAAATAATAACAATCATCATCATCGAATTGCAAAGACTCTGGCACAAGCCAGTCAAGGTGGTCCTAGTGGTGATCGGCACACTGGGTGCAGTGCCTAAAGACCTTGGCCTGCACTTAAACACAATCGGCGCTGACAAAATTACCATCTGCCAGCTGCAGAAGGCCACCTTACTGGGATCTGCATGCATTATTCGACGATACATCACACAGTCCTAGACACTTGGGAAGGGTCTGACATGTGATCCAATTCAACAGCCAGCAGAGTGCCTCATCTTGTTGTGTTTCAAATAATAATGATAATTAATTAATTAATTAATTAAGGCTAGGATTGCAAAATGAGCTGATGACCTAAAATGCAGACTGTGCAAGGAAGCTGATGAAACCATTGATCATATCCTCAGATGCTGCAAGAAAATCGCACAGACAGACTACAAACAGAGGCACAACTCTGTGGTCCAAATGATTCATTGGAACCTATGTCACAAGAACCACTGGACAGTAGTAAAGAACTGGTGGGATCATAAACCTGCAAAGGTAGTGGAAAATGAACATGCAAAAATACTGTGGAACTTCTGAATCCAGTTTTTGGAGTCTATTTTGACCTCACCTTCCGCAATCACTTCATTATTGGCCTCTCCTTTGTCACCCTTTGGCCCTCGGGACCCTTTCTCTCCTCGCGTCCCTTCTTTCCCAGGGAGGCCAATTTCACCAGGATCCCCCTTTTCACCATTCTCTCCGGGATCCCCTTTAGGCCCTGCGAACAATGAAGACAGAGGAATTCATTTTGACAGGATTTTGATTTTGTATTATAATCAATCATATTACATTTTGTACATATATTCCATACACATCATTTATCTATTGCCATATTTGCCTTGGTTAGACCACACCTGGAATACTGTGTCCAATTCTGGGCATCACAATTGAAGGGAGATGTTGACAAGCTGGAATGTGTCCAGAGGAGGGAGTCTTAAAGGATCAAGGGTCTGGAGAACAAGCCCTATGAGGAGCGGCTTAAGGAGCTGGGCATGTTTAGCCTGAAGAAGAGAAGGCTGAGAGGAGACAGGATGTAGGTCATGTATAAATATGTGAGAGGAAGTCATAGGGAGGAGGGAACAACTTGTTTTCTGCTGCCCTGGTGACTAGGACGCAATGGAACAATGGCTTCAAACTACAAGAAGGGAGATTCCATCTGAACATTAGGAAGGACTTCCTGTCTGTGAGAGCTGTTCAGCAGTGGAACTCTCTGCCCTGGAGTGTGGTGGAGGCTCGTTCTTTGGAGGCTTTTAAACAGAGGTTGGATGGCCATCTGTCGGGGGTGCTTTGAATGCAATTTTCCCGCTTCTTGGCAGAATGGGGTTGGAGTGGATGGCCCACGAGGTCTCTTCCAACTCTATGATTCCATGATTCTATATTTCCCATCTTCCTAATTCTCACTGTTAGAATCATAGAATCATAAAGTTGGAAGAGACCACATGTGCCATCCATTCCAACTCCCTGCCAAGAAACAGGAAAATTGCATTCAAAGCAACCCCGGCAGATGGCCATCCAGCCTCTGTTTAAAAGCCTCCAAAGGAGGAGTCTCCACCACACTCCAGGGCAGAGAGTTCCACTGCTGAACAGCTCTCACAGTCAGGAAGTTCTTCCTAATGTTCAGGTAGAATCTCCTTTCCTGTTGTTTGAAGCCTCCTCCCTATGAATGCTGTAACTATGCTGTATATTAATCTGTAAGCCACTGTGAGTGTTTTACAAATGAGGGGAAAGACAGTTCATAAACAACAACAACAATAAGAATAGAATATACCCATTTTCCCTCTTTTTCCAGGATCTCCCTTTTGCCCTGGGATTCCAGGAATGCCATCTGACCCATTATATCCAGGTAAGCCATCAAGCCCAGGAGGACCTGTTAGGGCCAATGAAAGTTGCATTAGATAGTTCAAAACCCGCAAAACAGTGTTACAACTCATCAAAAAGGTTTTAACTTATTTCACTGTGTTTGAGCACCAATCTACTCTATACAAGCAAACTCTCATGCATCCAAAAGTCATCAAGGTTATAAACAAAGCCCTTTCTTCTCATGACTTCCAATACTACACTGAAATGAATATGCTAGCATGCAGTCTGAAAATAGTATTGTAGCACAGGGAGAAGCATTCCTATAGACCAGTGTTTCTCAACTTGGGGGTCAGGACCCCTGTGGGAGGTTTGTGAGGGGTTGTCATTGGGATCACCAAAGACCATCAGAAAACACAGTATTTTCTGTTGGTCATGGGGGTCTGTGTGGGAGGTTTGCCCCAGTTCTATCATTGGTGGGGTTCAGAATGTTCTTTGATTGTTGGTGAACTATACATCCCAGCAACTACAACTCCCAAATGTTAAGATCTATTTTCCCCAAACTCCACCAGTGTTCACATTTGGGCATATTGAGTATCTGTGCCAAGTTTGGTCCAGATCCATCACTGTTTGAGTCCACAGTGCTCTCTGGTTGTAGGTGAACTACAACTCCAAAATTCAAGGTCAGAGCCCAGCAAACCCTTCCAGTATTTTCTGTTGGTCATGGGGGTTCTGTGTGCCAAGTTTGGTTCAATTCCATTGTTGGTGAAGTTCAGAATGTTCTTTATGGAGCCCCCGGTGGCGCATTGAGTTAAACCCCTGTACCGGCAAGACTGAAGACCGACAGGTCGCAGGTTCGAATCTGGACAGAGGCGGATGAGTTCCCTCTGTCAGCTCCAGCTCCCCAAGCGGGGACATGAGAGAAGCCTCCCACAAGGATGATAAAAAACATCAAATCATCCGGGTGTCCTATCAGGTTTTACAATGTATTATAATGTAATATAGCTGAGTCATGCACTGCTAATGGGCTTCTATTGGAAATGCTGAGTCATGCATTAACTGTATATAGAACTTCATTTGGGGAATGTGTTCTGGCCTAGTCCAGGTGATTGTGAATGATTCAATCCTGGGTTTGAGTTGAGTCAATTAGTTGGGAACCAATCAGAGATTGCTATGTGTAAATGAATTGTATATAAGGAAGTGTATATTTCTCCTTGTGTCGTGGTGTTGTTTTGTCGAAGGCTATATGTAATTAAAGAACCTGTCTGCAAAGATAAGATATAACTGTATGCTGTGGTAAGTCTGTAATATCATCTAGACTGGGGGAAAGACAATGGTAAAATTGACCATGGCCGGGCATGTGCTCAAGTGTCTGTAAAAGGTTCCAGAGTGACTGCAGTCTGTGGGAGCAGTTGACTGAAAATACTGTGCAGGAAGAAGCTACTGGAAAGCGCTGAAGTTGTGCAACTGATCTGCTGCTGAATTGTGAAGTTAATCTCAACACGTCCCCTGGGCAGACGGCCAATTCTCTCACACCAGAAGTGACTTGCAGTTTCTCAAGTCACTCCTGACACGACAAAAAAAAAAAAGAATGCTCTTTGATTGTAGGTTAACTATAAGTCCCTGCAACTACAATGCCCAAATGTCAAGTCTCTTTTCCACAAACTCCACCAGTGTTTACATTTGGGCATACTGAGTATCCATGCCAAGTTTGGTCCAGATCCACCATTCTTTGAGTCCACAGTGCTCTCTGGATGTAGGTGAACTACAACTCCAAAACTTAAGGTCAATGTCCAGCAAACCCTTCAAGTATTTTCTGTTGGTAATAAGAGTTATGTGTGCCAAGTTTAGTTCTATTCCATTGTTGGTGGAACTCAGAATGCTCTTTGATTGTAGGTTAACTATAAATCCCTGCAACTACAATGCCCAAATGTCAAGTCCCCTTTCCCCAAACTCCACCAGTGTTCACATTTGGGCATATTGAGTATCCGTGCCAAGTTTGGTCCAGATCCATCATTCTTTGAGTCCACAATGCTCTCTAGATGTAGGTGAACTACAACTCCAAAATTCAAGGTCAATGCCAAGCAAACCCTTCCAGTATTTTCTGTTGGTAATAAGAGTTATGTGTGCCAAGTTTAGTTCTATTCCATCATTGGTGGAGTTCTGAATGCTCTTTGATTGTAGGTGAACTATACATCCCAGCAACTACAACTCCCAAATGACAAAACCCCCCCTCCCCAACCTCACCAGTATTCAAATGTGGGCGTATCGGGCATTTGTGCCAAATTTGGTCCAGTGAATGAAAATACCTGCATATTGGATATTTACATTACGATTCATAACAGTAGCAATGGAAATAATGTTATGGTTGGTGGTCACTACAACATGAGGAACTGTATCAAGGGGCCATGACATTAGGAAGGTTGAGAAACACTGCTCTAGCCTATAGCTCCCATTTGTCCAACTTTGTCAAGAAAATCTCCAAGGCTCACATAAGTAGCACATTTTGTACTCGATGTAAATAACTAGGACAGATGTTAGGACAATGAACATTCCCATCCAACCGAAGGGATAAATGGTTCCAATGACTTGGCTCAAGTATATGATATTATGAAACAAATGGTATGATTTGCATCAGAACATTTGTCAGATCTCTCAATACACATTCAAGGAAAGGTCCGCCTCCATAGTGAAGGAAGCACACCTGGAGCTAAATGAACTTCATATGTGCTACCGACATCAGTACAACTGTATGATCAATCTACATGAACATCAGACTTTGTGAAACGATCCCTGCTTTGAAAGAAGCACCCAGCGCAATAACAATAGCGCCATTGGAATTTGGCATGCACTGTATTTAATTAGCATCAGATGGAGGGGAGGAAACCACTATGAAGTAGAAATCAAAAATGGATATATAGTATTTGTGTTTTGAATTTAGTGGGTTTGGGGGGTTTTTTTGTCATGTCAGGAGCGACTTGAGAAACTGCAAGTCGCTTCTGGTGTGAGAGAATTGGCTGTCTGCAAGGACGTTGCCCAGGGGACGCCCGGATGATTTGATGTTTTATCATCCTTGTGGGAGGCTTCTCTCATGTCCCCGCATGAGGAGCTGGAGCTGATAGAAGGAGCTCATCCGCCTCTCCCCGGATTCGATCCTGCGACCTGTCGGTCTTCAGTCCTGCCAGCACAGGGGTTTAACCCACTGCGCTACCGGGGTCTCCTCGATTTGGGGGTTATTTTACAGTGCGAGCAATGGAGGGAAATACAAGATGCTGAAAACACCACAGGAATAATAATAATTAATAATAATAATAATAATAATACTTTATTTAAACCCCGCCACCATCTCCCCAAGGGGACTCAGGGTGGCTTACATGAGGCCAAGCCCAGCAATACAACAATGCAAAAATAAGAAAATAAGATAAAATTCCAGAAACAGTATAAATAAACATATCAAAACAATATAAATATAAACAAGTTGGAACCAGACCTAGGCTAGATCTAGACTGCCATATAACTGCAATATATGGTCAGTGTGGCTCCATATAATGGAGTTCAATGCTTACAATGTAGAATTGCAGGGAAAACAACAGTGGAGGGGCGAGGAACATAAAAACAGGGGTGAAACAAGAAGCCAAACATTGCTGTTTCAATTTTATCTGCTTAGGTGTAGTCACACATTCCAGTTATAGAAGGGCATGGGAACATAAAAGGAGAAAAGATTTATTACCTGGCAATCCTGGTGGCCCTAGACAGAGAATAAATGAAAAGAATCAGAAAACAAATAGTAAGTGGAGTTTGATCCTAAAATACTTAGGAATAAGACTGTGCAAATATAATAATAATAATAATAATAATAATAATAATAATACACCTGACTTCACGATCGTGTTAAAAAACAAAGTATGGGTTGTCAATGTTGCAATCCCAGGTGACAGCAGGAATGAAGAGAAACAACTGGAAAAGCTGACACGATATGAGGATTTGAAGATCGAACTGCAAAGACTCTGGCACAAGCCAGTAAAGGTGGTCCCAGTGGTGATCGGCACACTGGGTGCAGTGCCTAAAGACCTTGGCCTGCACTTAAAAACAATTGGCGTTGACAAAATTACCATCTGCCAGCTGCAGAAGGCCACCTTACTGGGATCTGCACGCATTATTCACCGATACATCACACAGTCCTAGACACTTGGGAAGTGTCCGACGTGTGATCTAATACAACAGCCAGCAGAGTGCCTCATCTTGTTATGTTTCAAATACTAATGATAATTAATTAATTAAGGCCAGGATTGCAAAATTGGCCGATGACCCAAAATGCAGACTGTACAAGGAAGCAGATGAAACCATTAATCATATCCTCAGGTGCTGCAAGAAAATTGCACAGACAGACTACAAACAGAGGCACAACTCTATGGTCCAAATGATTCATTGGAACCTATCTCACAAGGACCACCGGACAGTAGCAAAGAACTGGTGGGATCATAAACCTGCATAGGTAGTGGAAAATGAACACACAAAAATACTGTGGGACTTCCAAACCCAGACTGACAAAGTTTTGGAACACAATACGCCAGACATCACAATGGTGGAAAAGAAAAAAGTTTGGATTATTGATGTCGCCATGCCAGGTAACAGCCAAATTGAGGAAAAACAACAGGAAAAACTTAGCTGTTATCAGGACCTCAAAATTGAACTGCAATGGCTCTGGCATAAACCAGTCCAGGTGGTCCCAGTGGTAATCAAAATGAACACCAGACTTTGTGAAGTGTCTAAAACGATCCCTGCTTCGTTTTGGGTGCCTTTTGGGTGCCATGCCAAAAGATCCCAGCCAGCATTTGGAAACAAGAAATATTGACAAAAATCATGACCTGTCAACTGCAAAAGACCACCTGACTTGGATCTGCGCGCATCATTTGAAAATACATCACAATCCTAGACGCTTGGGAAGTGTTCGACTTGTGATTTTGTGATACGAAATCCAGCATAAATATCTCATGTGCTGTGACATATTATGTTTTTGTGTTAGAATAATAATAATAATAATAATAATAATAATAATACACTTTATTCCCAGGGGACTTGGAGCGGATTACAACATACTCAGATAGGCAAACATTCAATGTCTTAATACAGTAGAATAACAATGACATATAAATACAGAGAACAAAGGTAAAGGCTTCCCCTTTCATCTCCGGCTTTCATCTCCATGCTCAACTCTGGCCCTGTGGAAGTGCTCTTGTTCCATTTCCAAGCTGAGTAACCTGTTGTCCATAGACACCTCCTGGTTGTGTTGCCAGCATGGCTGCATGGGCACTTTTATTACCTTCCTGCCAAAGCGGTACATATTGATCTACTCACATTTGCTCATTTTCAAACTGCTAGGTTGGCAGGAGCTAGGGCCAACAGTGGGAGCTCACCCGACCTGCAACTTTGAACTGTTTTCAAATTGCTAGGTTGGCAGGAGCTAGGGCTAACAGTGGGAGCCCACCCCGACCTGTAGCTTTGAACTGCCAACCTTATGTCAGCAAATTCAACCGTTCAACAGTTTAACCTGTTGCGCTATCACATCCCTATGGCTTGGAAAATGGCATGGAAATGTCTTAGAAGATATTTGGCACCTTAGTAAGGCCTGGAAACATTTGTTGTTGTTCATTCGTTCAGTCGTCTCCAACTCTTCATGACCTCATGGACCAGCCCACGCCAGAGCTCCCTGTGGGCCGTCACCACCCCCAGCTCCTTCAAGGTCAGTCCAGTCACTTCAAGGAAACATTACCTTTCTGAATATATCTCCCAGCCAGCATGAGGGTTATAGTCCAAAAAATACCTTTTCCAAACTATGAACAAGGATGGGAAACTTGTCCTTCAGACTAGAACACCACTCCATAATATTTATTTATTTTTTATTTATTTATTTAGAGTTTTTATAACCTGGTCTTCTCGACCTCCGAGGAGGGACTCAGGCCGGCTAACAACATAAAATTCAATACAATAAGAAAAGCATTATAAATCATCAATATAAAATACATTAAAATACAATTCATACAATTCACACAAGTTGCAGCAAAAATCAGTTCGTCAGAATGAATCACAAATTCATCGCCATCTGCCAGAAAGTTCAGCAGTTATTGACTCAGTGATCATTCTGCAAATGCAGTATCCCAAAGCCATGTTTTTACCAGCTTTCTAAACGTCAGGAGGGAAAAGGCAGATCTAATCTCCATCGGGAGGGAGTTCCAAAGCCGAGGGGCCGCCACAGAAAAGGCCCTGTCCCCCGTCCCCACCAGATGCGATTGCAAAGGCGGTGGGACCGAGAGCAGGGTCCCTCCAGAAGATCTTAACAACCTGGATGGTTCATAGGAGAGAATCCGTTCGGACAGGTAAATAGGGCCAGAGCCGTTTAGGGATTTATAGGTCAACACCAGCACTTTGAATTGTGCTCAGAAGCTGATTGGCAGCCAGTGGAGCTGGCGCAACAGAGGAGTAGTATGCTCCCTGTACCCCGCTCCCGTTAGTAATCTGGCTGCCGCGCGTTGTACTAGTTGTAGCTTCCGGGCAGTCTTCAGAGGCAAACCCATGTAGAGAGTGTTGCAGTAGTCTATACGGGATGTTACCAGAGCATGTACCAACGTGGCCTAGTCAGACTTATGTCAGCAAATCAAAGTGATTGATGATGGGAATTGTGGTCCAATATAATCTGGAAAATGTATTGTCGAAGGCTTTCATGGCTAGAATCACTAGGTTCTTGTGGGTTTTTTTTTGGTCTATATGGCCATGTTCTAGAGGCATATGAACATGGCCATATAGCCCGAAAAAACCCACAAGAACATAATCTGGAAAGCTAGAAGTGTCTCCAGCTTTATAGCATGATAAGATCATTACACAAGGAAAATTAATTCCATAATTCCTAACTCAGACATCACTACTAGAGAGACTACTCTACTCATCTGCGTTGTGAGAACAGCCAATTCAAGAAGTATGAAAGCTGAAGGATTGTGCCCATTCCGATCCAAAACTTTAGTTGAGGAGTTTTGATTTAAATTGCAGACTGAAGTGCAACCTCAAGCACTTCTCACTACCATGGATCCTGGTCCTTTAGAGAGAGAAAAATTGGGTTATCTTCTTGAAAAAGTTCTCTGCCATCCTACTAAGCCGGCTGTTGCGTTGGTAGAAGAACTCTTCTGAATCTGCATTAAATCAAACGCTTGGGAAATGATATTTAAAAGCATTCTTTTTCTCAAGCTCAGAAGGCAGTAAACAAACTCCAACTCAAGCACCAGTTTCAATCACAGTGGATGGCTTTTGGGCTAAAGATGTATTCTGTAAAGGACTCTCTCCTTGTATCTCAAGACAATCTCGTGGAGACTGTGGTTAAAATACATGCATGCCTTTTCACAAATGCCAACCAAGCTTGAGGCATTTCCAAAGTGCAAAGTGAAGTGCAGGGTCAGAAACAGGACAGAAAATATACAGAATGTTCTGGTAAGGTTTAAAAAACAGCTTATTTTTATTGGTGTGGGTGATACATCTCAGTTAAAAGAGTAGATAGACAAAAGAAAGTTATCCAACTTTGGTAGGAAAGTCCCTAATGCTGACTCCCCTGTGCCGGCAGGACTGAAGACGGACAGGTCACAGGTTTGAATCTGGGGAGAGCGTGGATGAGCTCCCTCTAACAGCTCCAGCTCCTCATGCGAGGACATGAGAGAAGCCTCCCACAAGGATGGTAAAAACATCAAAACATCTGGGTGTCCCCTGGGCAACATCCTTGCAGACGGCCAATTCTCTCACACCAGAAGCAACTTGCAGTTTCTCAAGTTGCTCCTGACATGACAAAAAAATGTCTGTGTACAAGGTATTTCAAGGCAGAAACCTCCTTGTGCTCCTTTCTCAAACAAAGTGGAATAAGACACCAAAGACTTCTAGGAAGAAGGGGGAAGTGACTTCTATATGCAGGCAAGGAGCAAAAACACTTTAAGTTACATAGATTAAGAAAAGGAGGTGAAAACAAAAAGGCAGATGTGGACAATGGGGTTTCTTCTGTCTCCAGTTGCTCTATATCAGGGGATCTCAAACTGTGCTCCTTGGAGCCCTTAGGGTTTCTGCTATTAGGATTAGAGGTGTGCACAGTACCCGTTTCTCCTGTTTCATTCGGGGGGGGGGGGTTCATTCCTTTTGTTTTGGGTGGGAGCATGAAACGGGAACTCCTCCCTCAGAATGAAAATAACCTCTGGGTTGCTGTAGGTTTTTCAGGCTATATGGCCATGCTCTAGAAGCATTCTCTCCTGACATTTTGCATGCTGGTGAAACGTCAGGAGAGAATGCTTCTAGAACATGGCCATATAGCCTGAAAAACCTACAGCAACCCAGTAATTCCGGCCACGAAAGCCTTCGACAATACATTGAAAATAACCTCAGAATGAAAGAAAGCAGGAACAAGTACCATTTCCTTGCCTGCCTTTCAGCCCATGTGGCAGTACTCGTGTGCTATTTCCCTCTGAGCCCTGCCTGTTGCACCAATCAAAGGAGAAGTGAACCAGGACTGTGGCGCAGCTGGTTGGGAGTCAGCTGCATTAAGATCTCTACTGACTGAAATGTCATGAGTTCGAAGCCAGCCCAGGTTGGAGTGAGCTCCCGGCCAAAACTGTGTAGCTTGTTGTCGACCTTTGCAGCCCGAAAGACAGTTGCATCTGTCAAGTAGGAAATTTAGGTACCGCTTATGCGGGGAGGCTAGTTTAACTGATTTACGAGGCCATAAAAATCTCCAAGAAGGATGCAAAGAATGAGGAAGTACTTCATCAGTGTCACAAACGGACGATGAAGCAACAGCTCCCCTGGTAGCCAGAAGCTGGAATGTTAAATAGCCTCTGAGTGTCTGTCTATATATGCTGAGTGTCTATGGCATTGAATGTTTACCATGTATATGTGCATTGTAATCCACCCTGAGTCCCCCGCGGGGTGAGAAGGGCGGAATATAAATACTGTAAATAAATAAATAAATAAATAAGAAGAATGCTGTCCACCTGGCTCACCTTGCCCACCAATTTTTGTCTCCTCAGCAATCATGTCTTGGGGCTCCATAAGAAACTTTGGCTTCAACTAAGACTCGATGGCTGAAAAAGTTTGAGACCTCCTCCTCTACATACAAGTAGGCTTCTGCACTTCTAATGCACATTAAACATGGAACATACAGGATGGAGACAAACAGACCTGGATATTGCTTCTTTCAATTTTGAGGTGCCTGTCAATATGAATTGACATTCATTTGCAGAATCATAGACTCATAGAGTTGGAAGAGACCTCATGGGCCATCCAATCCAACCCCCTGAGTCAACCAAATTGCAAGCCTACCTGTTAAACACACTCCTTTGGTGCTGTTGCAGAGCTCCACCATTACACGGACCTAAAACCACAAAAAGAAATGTCATTGATGGCAATGCACAAGATTAATGATATGGGACGAAACCTCTCTTTGACTTATTCTAGTGTCAGAGAAAATACCAAATTATAAACAATCAGTTAGAGAGATAAATAGATAGATAGTAGGCATGGTTAGGGTCAGTCAGAATCTTCGTAATTCGGAATAAATTCAGAAAGATTTGCTTTTTGAAGCAATTTCAAAGTTTTTAAAGAAACCAGAAGTTTTAAATCAGTCTGGACAGATGGCCAGGCAGCCAGGCTCTAAAAAGTGTCCTACCCCATAAACTTTGTGTGGCAAATATGTCATGAAACATCTGGAAGGCACAGTTTCTCTGGCCAGGACAAAGAATGGAACTTTTGCAGTGATCTACTGCTGAAGTTTCTGGTGGAAGTCCTTCAGGCAGCCATCTTGGGAACCTCTAAATCTCACAACAAATAATCAAGTCTGAACAATGGAGAATGGACAACAATCCCTGGACCAACTGGTCTGTATGTGGACCTCTTCTGAAATCCCGGAATTTTTTGCCCCTGTTTAAAACCCCTTGTCCGGAAGTGCAATCAGGAAACACAAGTGTTCTTCGACAGAGAATATTAACTCCCAATTGTATATCTCAAGATTCCACCAAATATGTTGTCGAAGGCTTTCATGGCTGGAATCACTGGGTTGCTGTAAGGTTTTTAGGCTGTAGGGAGATGTTTCAGAAGTATTCTCTCCTGATGTTTCGCCTGCATCTAGGGCAAGCATCCTCAGAGGTTGTGAGATCCTCCTAGGATGGCTGCCATAGATTCTGGCAAAACATCAGGAAAGAATGGTTCTGGAACATGGCCATACAGCCCAAAAAACTTACAACAACCCATTCCACTAAATGCCACAATGGCAATGAAAGTAGCATTAATACATATGCATCTACTATATACACAAAGAGCGGGGCATCTAGACTTTAGATTTCAGGACCTTCCTGCCCACTTGTTTCATTGCCTGGGGCCAGGGGGAGCTCTAACTGACCATTCAATATCCAAATATTCATCTTCGCCTGAGCTTTGGGACTGCAGCATTTTTCCAAACGAAGCAGAGAGTGTTTGAGGACCAGGACATCCATAGATGCTTGTTTATGAAGCTATTGTCCTCCCAATCCTGCTGTATGCCTGCAAAACGTGGACTGTCTACAGACGTCACATGCAACTTCTAGAATGATTCCATCAGCACTGCCTCCAGAAAATCCTGCAAATCTCTTGGGAAGACGAGTGGACAAATGTCACCGTGCTGGAAGAAGCAATGACCACCAGCACTGAAATGATGGTCCTCCGCCATCAACTCCACTGGACCAGCCATGTTGTCCGGATACCTGACCATTGTCTCCCAAAGCAGTTGCTCTTCTCTGAGCTCAAGAACAGAAAACAGAATGTTGGCGGGCAGGAAAAGATATTTAAATATGAGCTCAAAGCCAACCTTAAAAACTGTGGCATAGACACCGAGAACTGGGAAGCCCTGGCCCTTGAGCATTCCAGCTGGAGGTCAGCTGTGACCAGCAGTGCTGTAGATTTTGAAGAGGCATGCATGGAGGGCGAAAGAGAGAAACATGGCAAGAGGAAGGCACATCAAGCCAACCCTGACTGGGACCACCTTCCACCTGGAAACCGATGTCCTCACTGTGGGAGAAGATGCAGATCAAGAATAGGGCTCCACAGCCACCTATGGATCCACCACCAGCACACTCATCCTGGAGGATTATCCTACTCTAACAATGAGGGGTCGCCTTAGTAAGTAAAGTATTCATCTTCAAAGTTCTCCCAGCATCTTATGGGCTTTTAAACTAGATGGACAGCTATCTTTTGAAAAGTAGCCATCAAAATTCAATCCCTGCACCCAAACAAGAGGACGAGTAAAAATATTATGAGCGCATACAATCTCCTCAAGGATGTGCTACGATGTGAACCCCAGGAAAGGGGAAAATCTAACACAAAGTCATGGTCAGTAACCATTAAGTTCAGGGCTTACATTTCTTCTCAAAGGGAAGGAGCACTGGCTGTTCTTTGTACAAAGATCATTGCTTACATACAAGGAAAATGTAGTGTCCCAAATGAAGACAGACGGGGCCATTGCCTAAGAAGCAAGCTAAACTAACTCTCAGAGGAAGGCCATGAGTTGACCTTACTCAATAATGCAATGTGTTTGTTTAAAAATGGTTTTCAAATCAGTCCGGGTAATGATTGGCTGCGATGCCCGGCCTCATCCAAAACATTACACACTGGAGTAAACTCACAGCAACTTGCCAGTGTTGTGACTTTGAGATGTTGTGACTGGGAGCGTAACATTTCATATGCTCCATCCTAACCCCTTCTTTGCCGCTTCTAGTCCTGAGACCTTTCTGATGCTGACTAGTTCATCCAGATGAATGGTTTGGTGTTGTTGGACTGCAACTCCCAGAAGTCTCTGCCAGTGTGGTCAATGGCCAGGGATTCTGAGAACTAAAGCCAACAACATCTGGGAGACCAAAAGTTGAGAAGCCACTATCCTAGATTGGCTGTCCGGATGTTTTGAACTTTGCTGGTTATGACCTAGGGATGCGTCTACACTGTAGAATTGATGTTGTTGTTGTTGTTTATTCGTTCCGTTGCTTCCAAATCTTTGTGAACTCATGGACCAGCCCACGCCAGAGCTCCCTGTCGACCATCACCACCCCCAGCTCCTTCAGAGTCAAGCCAGTCACTTGAAGGATACCCTCCATCCATCTTGCCCTTGGTCGGCCCCTCTTCTTTTTTCCTTCCATCTTCCCCAGCATCATTGTCTTCTCTAGGTGACCTCATGGACCAGCCCATGCCAGAGCTCCCTGTTGGCTGTCACCACCCCCAGCTCCTTCAGAGTCAAGCCAGTCACTTCAAGGATACCCTCCATCCATCTTGTCTTTGGTCGGCCCCTCTTCCTTTTTCCTTCCATTTTCCCCAGACTCATTTTCTTCTCTAAGCTTTCCTTTCTTCTCATGAGGTGGCAAAAGTATTTCATCTTTGCCTCTCATATCCTTCCTTCCAGTGAGCAGTTGGGCTTTATTTCCTGAAGTATGGACTGGTTGGATCTTCTCACAGTCCAAGGCACTCTCAGAACTTTCCTCCAACACCACAGTTCAAAAACGTCTATCTTCCTTCGCTCAGCCTCTCCTATCATCCAGGTCTCACATCCAGAGGTTACTACAGGGAATACCATTGCTTTAACTATGCCAATCTTCAGTGTGATGTCTTTACTCCTCACTCTTTTCTCAAGATTGGTCTTTGCTCTCCTCCCAAGAAGGCAACATCTTCTGATTTCCTGGATGCAGTCTGCATCTTCAGGAATCTTTGTATCTAGAAATACAACTGCCTCCATGTGGTCTCCCTCTATTTGCCAGTTGTCAATCAGTCTTGTTGCCATAATCTTGGTTTTTGAATGTTTAACTGCAACTCAACTTTTTCACTTTCTTCTTTCACTTTGGTTAGAATTAACCCACCCATCCTCCTGAGCAAAAATGCCTAATAACCAGGGATCCTGGTGGTTTGGTCCTGATCCAACAGGCAGAAACAAAATCGACATGCACCTTGTGTTTCTCAGGGCCCATCCAGACAGTACCTTTATCCCAAGAGCTTCTGCAGCAAACAGGAGAATGGCCAGACACCATTCCCTGTAATCGCAGAAGCAATCACTACAAAAGGCAAAAAATATGGCATTTCCAAGTGCAGAAATACATCGGCTTTGAGCTGAATATCTGCATTTTCCAATGTCTGTATGTCTCTGCAATTGGAAATCATGGTATTTTTTTTAATCTGGGTTTGTTCCTGGATTTTAGATGCTTGTTCCTGATTGGTTGGTTCCTAAAAAAAAGGTTGTTTTTTTTTTCAAGTCAGAAGCTACTTGAGAAATTCCAAGTCACTTCTGGTGTGAGAGAATTGACCATCTGCAATGACATTGCCCAGGGGACGCCCGGATGTTTTGATGTTTTGCCATCCTTGTGGGAGGTTTCTCTCATGTCCCTGCATGGGGAGCTGGAGCTGATAGGGGGAGCTCATCCATGCTGTCCTCAAATTCTAACCTGTGACCTGTCAGTCTTCAGTCCTGCCGGCACAAGGGTTTAACCCACTCAAGGTGACACTTAAGTAGAAGGGAAAAACTTTGTTTGTGTGCCCGAAACTTCATAAAACATGTGGAGGGCACATTTTCTCTGGCCAGGACAAAGTTGTGGCCCCCAAGTCAATGTTGTAAATCTTTTCACAAGAAGAGCAATCAGGAACAGCCAACAAATCTGTCTGGATAGATGGCCAGGCAGCCAGACTCTAAAAAGTGTCAATAATGACAAAGCTGTTCCTGGCTTGAAAGTGTGTGTTCCTGTTTCATTGTGTGGTGCTGACTTGGATAGAAGTAGTCCTAACCCATAAACTTTGTTTGTGTGGCAGAAACTTCATGAAACATGTGGAGGGCACATTTTCTCTGGCCAGGACAAAGTTGTGGCCCCCAAGTCAATGTTGTACATCTTTTCACAAGAAGAGCAATCAGGAACAGCCATGTGTAACCCAGGAATAGCACCCTGTTGTTTGATGCCACAAGTACACAACAAATCTGTCTGGTAGATGTCCAGGCAGCCAGGCTCTAAAAAGTGTCAATAATGACAAAGTTGTTCCTGGCTTGAAAGTGTGTGTTCCTGTTTTACTGTGTGGTGCTGACTTGGATAGAAGTAGTCATATCCCATAAACTTTGTGTGTGTGCCAGAAACTTCATGAAACATGTAGAGGGAACATTTTCTCTGGCCAGGACAAAGTTGTGGCCCCCAAGTCGTTGTATATCTTTTCACAGAGGAGCAATCAGGAACAGCCATGTGTAACCCAGGAACAGCACCCTGTTGTTTGATGCCACAAGTACACAACCAAATCTGTCTGAACAGATGGCCAGGCAGCCAGGCTCTAGCAATAGTAGATAATGACAAAGTTCTGTTCCTGGCTTAAAAGTGTGTGTTCCTG